CGACAGCAAGGACACCATGGACAACACGACCACGCAAAAGTACTGGATCGACGTGCAGCTGCGCTGGGGCGACTACGACTCGCACGACATCGAGCGGTACGCGCGCGCCAAGTTCCTCGACTACACCACCGACAACATGTCCATCTACCCGTCCCCGACCGGGCTGCTGATCGCCATCGACCTGGCCTACAACCTGCACAGGTGAGACGGTGGTACAGCGGCGGCTGTGACTGCGGCTGACATGCGCAGAACTGTGACTATAGAGGCTGTGCTCCGTGACTCTAGCTGAGAAATGGATAATATCTTGTGGTAACATGTTCAAGCAAATGTCTGATCAGGATTTTAGCACGGCGTCCCTTGTTGCTTTTCTAACGTCTGTTTCCTTTCCTCCATGATAGTGAAGCATCCCATGCTGACTTTTTGCTGGCTATCTATATTTGTTCTGTTCCCCGTCTCTCCTCTGACGCTGGCCACCGTCCGTTACAGCGCCTACGGCAACTGGTTCCCGGGCAGCAAGCCGCTCATCCAGCAGGCCATGGCCAAGATCATGAAGGCCAACCCGGCTCTGTACGTGCTGCGCGAGCGGATCAGGAAGGGCCTCCAGCTGTACAGTTCGGAGCCCACCGAACCCTACCTGAGCTCGCAGAACTACGGCGAGCTCTTCAGCAACCAGATCATCTGGTGAGTAAACTGCCTGCCCGACGGACTGTGCTGGCGAAACGCGGTGTAGTGTCACAACAGCGAAGGATGGAAGTGCTTTCGTTTGTTCATTATTGTTTTGTTTAGCAATCATAAAAGAGACTTAGGTTCAGACGACCAAACGTGTAATTAACAGTTGTTTCTTGTACACTTGATGTAGGAATGGTTGCGTGCCGACCCTCCCCTGCGCGTGCTGTTCGATTCGCTGACGGCCGTCGCGCTCCTCAGGTTCGTGGACGACACGAACGTGTACCGCGTCACCATCCACAAGACGTTCGAGGGCAACCTGACCACCAAGCCCATCAACGGCGCCATCTTCATCTTCAACCCGCGCACCGGCCAGCTCTTCCTCAAGATCATCCACACCTCCGTCTGGGCGGGTACGTACGCAAGATCGGGGCAGCTGCGCTGCTGGCCGCGAATATGCGGGTCACAACAGCGTCGGCTCTTATGGATCGTACTGACATCGTTTCATCATTTCTCAGAGGTCAATTAATATTGCTGACGCACCGATCCATACGTGTACACATCGATAGATATTCAGTATTCACCATCTTTTCATTGTATGATGGCCACAGCTCGTCATTGACGTTCTGAGCTCGTAGCGCCTCGTTTGCTGGATGTGTTTATGTACATTTACTTGCCACGTTTCTGACTGTCTGGCTGCGTTGTACAGGTCAGAAGCGTCTGGGCCAGCTGGCCAAGTGGAAGACCGCCGAGGAGGTGGCCGCGCTCATTCGCTCGCTGCCCGTCGAGGAGCAGCCCAAACAGATCATCGTCACCAGGAAGGGCATGCTGGACCCGCTCGAGGTAAGAAGAGCGCTCCTTTACTGAAAGCAGCAGCTGGCCTCTGGCATTCTGAATGTTATTCTGGGCAAGTTGGGTCCGAAAGCTTCCATGTTGTGATGATGAACGCTCGTTTTCGTCACTCTCGTCTTGCGTCTGATCGCCTGGATCAGACGATCATATCAGGATTACTTACACGAGATTCATGAAGGCTGCTCATTCTGTATATGATCACGATATTATTGCATTGGTGTTGTCCTCCCCACCCTGACATACCTGTCTCTCTGCCCCCAGGTGCATCTGCTCGACTTCCCCAATATCGTCATCAAGGGCTCGGAGCTGCAGCTGCCCTTCCAGGCCTGCCTCAAGGTGGAGAAGTTCGGCGACCTGATCCTCAAGGCCACCGAGCCGCAGATGGTGCTCTTCAACCTGTACGACGACTGGCTCAAGACCATCAGCTCGTACACGGCCTTCTCGCGTCTGATCCTGATCCTGCGCGCGCTGCACGTCAACAACGATCGCACCAAGGTGATCCTCAAACCGGACAAGACCACCATCACCGAGCCGCACCACATCTGGCCCAGCCTCTCCGACGACGAGTGGGTCAAGGTGGAGGTGCAGCTCAAGGACCTCATCCTGGCCGACTACGGAAAGAAGAACAACGTCAACGTGGCGTCGCTGACGCAGTCGGAGATCCGCGACATCATCCTGGGCATGGAGATCAGCGCGCCGTCCCAGCAGCGGCAGCAGATCGCCGAGATCGAGAAGCAGACCAAGGAGCAGAGCCAGCTGACCGCCACCACCACGCGCACGGTCAACAAGCACGGCGACGAGATCATCACCAGCACCACCTCCAACTACGAGTCCAACACGTTCAACTCCAAGACGGAGTGGCGCGTGCGGGCCATCTCGGCCACCAATCTGCACCTGCGCACCAACCATATCTACGTCAGCTCGGACGACATCAAGGAGGCCGGCTACACCTACATCCTGCCCAAGAACATCCTCAAGAAGTTCATCGTCATCTCTGACCTGCGCGCCCAGATTGCCGGCTACCTGTACGGCGTGTCGCCGTCGGACAACCCTCAGGTGAGTGGTTTGGCTGCGAACTCTCCCGTCTCAGATTGTCGTAATCAAACCAGAACCTTGTCTACTCGATGCATTCTCGTTTTGGCTCTCTTTGCTTCGCCATTTGCGTGAACTTTAATTCCCGACTGAAAAGGCGCCTGCATGTTGAATAACGCTGCACGTCTGCCCAACTGACAAACCCGTGACCTTCCTTATCTCTGACACCTTGTCCATTTGTTGTATGACCGGATAGCGCCTTCAGCCGTGTCGTCGCGGGCCGGCGATGTTGTACAGGAGTCCGCACAGTCTCCCCCGTGTCACGTCCCGCGCGTCTGTGGCCACCAGGTGAAGGAGATCCGCTGTATCGTCATGGCGCCGCAGTGGGGCACCCACCAGACGGTGCACCTGCCGTCGGCGCTGCCGCAGCACGAGTACCTCAAGGACATGGAGCCGCTCGGCTGGATGCACACGCAGCCCAACGAGCTGCCGCAGCTCAGCCCGCAGGACATCACCACGCACGCCAAGGTGCGGCACCTGGGGACGGACGGGGGAGGGGGCACCGCGGTGGGGGAAGTTAATCCGCGGGATGTAATGGCCAGTCGTGGGCCAGTTGAGACGTCTAGTTGCGCTCCTTCAATTAACTTTTTCTCCGCGTACCTCACTACTTTTAAATGATTCTAATATTATGATGGCGTATTTTGTCGTACTTTTTTAGTCAGCTACCCCTTTATTGGTATTCACATCCCCCAATAGATGTGCACTGCCCTCTCCTGTCACGGGCCCCGTAGCACCCCTCTGACGCGCGCCCCTCGCCCAGGTGATGTCGGAACACTCGAGCTGGGACGGCGAGAAGACGGTGGTGATCACGTGCAGCTTCACGCCCGGCTCGTGCTCGCTGACCGCCTACAAGCTGACGCCGAGCGGCTTCGAGTGGGGCCGCCAGAACACGGACCGCGGCAACAACCCCAAGGGCTACCTGCCCTCACACTACGAGCGCGTCCAGATGCTGCTCTCCGACCGCTTCCTCGGCTTCTTCATGGTGCCGGCGCAGGGCAGCTGGAACTACAACTTCATGGGTACGTGGAGTACACGGACATATAGCTGTCAAGTCCTCACAACTGGTTGGCCATTCTTCTAACCGTCTGCATGCGACTATGAATGGCTGTGATTCTTCAGTAGTAACTTTGATATGAATATTAATGTTATTCGTCTGCTGCTTCAGCCGGCCGATGGGTGATGTTTTGTGTATGTTGTCTCACGCCCTGACCGCTCCGAACGCCCACCGCCAATGACACTGACACATTCTCCGTCCGCAGGCGTGCGCCACGACCCGAGCATGAAGTACGAGCTGACGCTGGCCAACCCGAAGGAGTTCTACCACGAGGTGCACCGGCCGTCGCACTTCCTCAACTTCGCCTCTCTGGAGGAGGGCGAGACGGCAGGCGCCGACCGCGAGGACGTGTACGCCTGAGCGGGCGCTCCGTCCCACCGCGGTGCGCGCGGAACTGTGTGTGCGGTCGGGGCGGCGTCTGCCGGCGTCAGAGGGAGGCCGGACCGCCAGTGGACCCGAGCGGCGCCGCACTGCTGTGAGCTGGTATGTGACTGTGAGACGGTGTGACTGTGGTGTCCGATCGACTGTGACTGTGAGGCGCGGTCCGGCTCTGCAGACACGCGATCGGAGCGTCCCGGTGCTATGGTGTGTGTCTGTGTGCCCGATATCACTCCCGTCGGTCCCGGGGTGACCGGACTGGAGCTGTCTAGAATGACGAGTCTCTCACTTTCCCGAGACCAGCCGTGCGGCCGCCGCCGGCTCTCATCACTTCACAGAAGTATGTGGCGTTTTTGTCGCTTTTCAGGAGAGAGACAGATAAGCTGAATACATCGTCGTACAGACCATATTTTACCATTTTGTTTGTGTGTGGTTCAGGGTTGCTGGATCGGAGAAATTTGGATACCTTTTGTGGAATACTACAGGGTTTGTCGTTTGAAGATGTGGATAGCAGTGTTATGTTTGGTCATTCTCCAAGACAGCTCACATGATCCACATGATAACCCACATGTATCAAGACCAATTCATTGAAGATTACGATTTGTTCTCTTGTTGGCCTGTCACCAAGAATATTCTCAGGCATATTACCAAACCTAAACTTCACAGCCACTCTCATTCCAGTTTTGTGAGGTTGTTTGATGGGGTTGTCACGAGCGATGGGATTGCATTGTGTGCTTCTGAAAATATGTACATGGCATCATGAAGCATCGGTGAGTCATGTTTAAATTCTTACTGTTCATGGGACTAATGTTTGTTAAAATCGATCTCTAGCTAGTTATTTCATTCTTGTTCTGAAACACTGGATGTAAGTCACGATGGGCAAAGTACCAACAGCTAGTCGCAAAGCAACATTCACAAGTCAGGAAGTCGTCGAGACAAAGCAGCAAAGTCGGAGATCATGCCGCCGGTGATCGCCGTCCGTTTCCGAGCCGTGTACTCTGTGAGAAGCCGCCCGCAGTGTGGTGGCCGACGACCGCGTCAGTGAGGTGACCGTACTCGAGCAGCTGTCCGCCCGCTGCTGACCGTACTGGAGCAGCTGTTCGCCCGCTGCTGACCGTACTCGAGCAGCTGTCCGCCCGCTGGTGACCGTACTCGAGCAGCTGTCCGCCCGCTGGTGACCGTACTCGAGCAGCTGTCCGCCCGCTGCTGACCGTACTCGAGCAGCTGTCCGCCCGCTGGTGACCGTACTCGAGCAGCTGTCCGCCCGCTGCTGACCGTACTGGAGCAGCTGTCCGCCCGCTGCTGACCGTACTCGAGCAGCTGTCCGCCCGCTGCTGACCGTACACCCGTGTAGCTGCGGTGGCCTGTCAATGCCTCCGCCCCGGTACCAGTCGCCGGTGACGGCGCCCTGCGCCTCCTGCGGCCGCCCATTCGTCGATGGACGGCGTCAGGAGCACGAGCGTATCTGCGCGCGACTGGCCGGCCGGCGGCGGAGCGTCTACGACTCTCAGCGGCACCGGCTGGCGGGCACCGAGCACGGGCCGCTCTACGCCAGAGCGCGGCACCTCCCGGCTCCGGTAGGTGGGCGACGGGCCGGCCGGCTAGCCAACGAGGTGCTGAGCGGGCCAGAGGGTAGTGTTTTCTTGGCTCGAGTTACGTGCGGCTTATAAGCCGCACTATAACTCGATGAACTATAGTTCATACGAGTTTCTCCTACATGAATAAGATGTTGTAGACCCATAGCGAAACTATTCCGAATTCATCTCACGCCCTATTTCGCTTGGTGTGGAGTCTACTCGTGTTTGTAAGTGTTCGGAATTGATGACGTATCGCAGATCGCTGTCGTGTCAATGTGATGTAGTACAGTGGGACTCGTCAGAGCTCGATCTTCATGGGCGCGATCCCGTCCTTCTGTCGTCAGCCGGTGAGGGAGAGCCGGTGGCGGCAGCGGCACGAGGAGCTGGTGACCGCCGTTCGCGCAGCGCGGCAGGCGCAGGCCCACCTAACGGCCGGCGGCCGGCCTCAGGACCTGCCGCCGCCGCCGCCGCCCTCAGACTATTCCGACTACGTCCAGTGTCCGCACTGCCAGCGGAAGTTCAATCAGACGGCAGCGGAACGGCACATACCGCGATGCCAGTTCTATGAGCACAATAAGCCGGGGCCGGCGGCGGCAGCACGGGACCGGAGCGCGGCACGGCCGACCCGTGGAGCTTCCTGGCAGGCCAAGCCGATACAAGGCCGATATAAACGAAAGAGTAACGGCTAAATGCTTTGAAGATTGGAATTAGAAAAATGCTCATTAATTCAGCCGTAAGACCTTTGTCTGACCACCCTTTGCTGCTTGCAATTTTCATGGCAATTGCATGGACCCTAAATATTATGTAATAGCATGAAGGGATTTGGAATCATGAAGGGATTTGGAAGTTGATTCATATAATACGCGACAGTTTCGTTTGTGATTTTCCAGTTCTCATACGGTGTGATTTTCTCGTAGTAGAAATTGTATAGGGCTAGGGCGATTTCTTTTTTATTTTTCATATTTTGCGTTGGTTTAGCAGTCAAATATGGTAAGGTGTATTTTTCATTGATAGCAAATCAGTTGGGCAAACTAGACCTTTGGAATCAAAATATGGAGGCATCAAAAGATTGATTCCTTGTGACCATATTTGGGCATAAATGCAGACCATTTCTAACTTACCAATCACATAAAAATAAGAGAGTGTTTCCAGAAGGAGCATGCCTGATCTTGAACAGAAATGCTGGAACTATCTCCTAAGCAAAATAATATTACTCCTATCATAACAATTTGAATTCTATAGGTAGTGAAAGGCAATCAAGGAATTGATTCACTTTAAACAGATAATCATAATATTGATTCCCTATCAGCTGGCTAATCATTATTTTGATTCACAGGTAATGTTAACAGATAGGCAACAATGACTTGCAAGAATACAGCATTTATCTTGCTATTATTCTCATTTAGTGGTATCCTCAGCACCACAACAGATACCTATAGCATTGTTGTACTTTACCTTCACTACATTTGATAACAATTCACAATTTTTAAATGTCAAGAATGCAAAAACTGAAGCAACAGGTAAAACCCATATAAATAATATAAAAGCACTACAACAATGATAATTAGGGGTTTAAAAATTTCATTTTGCCATTTTACACTAATACTGATTGTTTAGGATGTGATTCATGATACAAAAATAACATACAGCGTGATTTCCTCAAAACAGCTTTACGTGATGGACAGTGGCTCTGTCTTTTTCCCATTCACAAGGCCAAAGGGACAATTTCTTAGCTTTGAGGTAACACTTTTTGCAAACCTACTACATTTTTCTACCTTTTTAAAGAAAAATCTCACCGTCATGGGCCTTTTTTCAACCGTAACGGTACATTTGAAGTAAAAAGTGTACCCAAATGAATCAAAAAATTGATTCCATGCCCATATTTGGTCATGGCTCCTCCCACCAGAATCAAATTATTGATGCCTCCATATTTTGATTCCAAAAGTCTAGTTTGCCCAACTGAAATGGATTTACCTCCTCATAGCCGCCCAGTTCACTCACTTCAATTATCCCATCGTATTCAAGATGACTGATAAAATAAAGATTTACATCCGCTGGAATTGAGATTTGTAATATATGATTAATGAATGGCTTAAGCTATGTTAATGAAATATTGTGCAATAAATATGGTTCAATGCTGTCAACATTTCTTGCAACACTTCAATGTACTGTGTACATCTCATGCTCCTCCCATTTCCCAAGGCTTGGAACACCACTCCTCCCTTGCCGGTATTGGTAGAGATAGAGCAGACGTCACATGAAGGTTTTCCAACCAAGGAGAGGCGCCATACCCGGTGGTGCTTCTTTCGAGGAAAACCTAAACAAACCTAACCTAACCAGACCTAACCTAACCTAACCTACAACCTACAACCTACAAACCTACCCTACAACCTACAAACCTGCGCCTCTCCTCGGTTGGAAAACCTTCGTGTGACGTCTGAGCTCTACTAATGCCCCCTTGAGCTCATCTCTAGAGCTCACGAAATCACATCACCTTGACCTCATCCTGACAATTGCTCAAACATTTTGGTTTGTTTTTCAGTATTCCTGCTCATCAGGAGGTTTGGCTGAACAGCTATTTTAAGTTCTCTCGGAATGGCTCAATAGGCCTCCATTCTCGAGATAATAGCATCATTAGATGGCTGTTCCATTGCATCAATGGAGAAAATCCTCCTGCTTCTGGGTATGGCACTTGTTCTACATTCTTCTGAATCTGTTTTGAATAACAATTGAGTCATGAGTGTTCATGAGACTGTTAGTAATTCAGAACTTTCGTAGTTCAATGCATGAATGCTTCTAACACATGTACAATTGTACAACATGCTAACAAAGTTACCTTTTGTCATTTTTAATACAAATAAGCTACTTTCACAGGATATAGGTACCTATTCATAGTCACTACCTACTCACTATGTGTTGGTTTTCTTTTTTCATTTGCACAAAACTATTATCATTCTAGTGTTAAGTGTTAATTTGCTTTTAACACTGACTTCCTGTGCTGGCAGCTGTGTGGTTGGCGACTGCTCCAGAGGCCCGGCGTACTCACAACACCAGCCATCTGTGGTGGCAGCTGCCAACGTGACCTGTCCTCAGCAGAACCAAATTTTTATGATGTGCTGGGTGTGACACCACGCTCCTCCTCCAAGCATATCAAGGCTGCCTATTTCCGTCTCTCCAAGAAGTACCATCCAGATCGGAAGAGCGGCAACGCCATCAAGTTCCAGCAGATCAGCGCCGCTTACGAGGTGCTGGGTAACCGGCACCGGCGGCGAGTGTACGACAGCGGCCGGCACCACGGGCACGGGCACCACGGCCACCAACGGGGCCCGGCGCGGCACGGTCCCGACTTCCACGCGCCGCCGGCCGGCCGCTCGGCCACTCCGCACACGGGCCGCTCGGCGCACTTCGACTATGACGCCTGGTCACAGGTGAGATCACTGTCAGATTTTGATGGTGTTAGTCCGTTTTCCCACGCTTTTTCTCTCTATTCCAATTCTTATTGGATGAGGAGTATCTAGTGTATCCCTCCCGAGTTTATCTTGCGAACTAGGTAACCGATCTGTTCCATTGACCCATATAACGGGAACCTTGATGATTGCCCTCCCCCATCTGCAACATACGCAGAGTTGTGCTAGACGTCCCGCCCTCCAGAGTCCAGCCGCATCTGATTGGCGCGTTCCTGGCGTCTTTAAACGCACTGCATGTGGCAGAAAGGCAGACTGTCGTGTTTTTTTCTTTTATTTTACTGGTGATAAAGTTGTGTCAATCACGGTGGCTATAAATAGTGTCAATGATGTTTCATGATTAAGATTTAAGGACCTTCGGTCGCAGCTAGTGGCAAACGGCGTTGTCAAGACTGCTCTGCCCAACGCATTACGCAGATAAGTGTTTGGTGCCTGAAGCATACAATAATGTCACACACATATAATGTCGGCAATGCAGATTCATAGCTTTATCCACAAAGCTCTCATCAGCTCTGAAATAAGTTTTGCTTTGTTTGACGGTTTATGGGAGATAGTTAGACGTTACACTACTACCTCGCATGACTTCATCATAAACTTGTACTCATCGCTTCATTCATCATTCCGACAAAAAGTAATACCGATTGGAGTTAGCCAAGTGACCAGTCTTGGCAGTCTTGGCAGACCATTTCACAATATTTGTACGTCCCTCTTGGCTGCAGTTCAGGGCTCCTCAAGCATTCGTTTAATCTTCTTTGCATTCCTTTGCGTCCTTTGCGGAATTCCAAGTAGGGTGCGTGGCTTTTATGCTGTGAAGAATTGTGCGTTTTCTCAATAAGGTATGGCCCACTCCTGTTTGTCGCTTTCATTTGCGATTGACTTTTTTCCTGTTGAATTTGTGGGGCGTAAACCAAGTGAGTGAAGCTGCGTCTTCTCTCGCTGTGATGCACCTGCCGGGCTCTGCGACGTCATGTCGGCACACACCTGTATGACGTCACACGCTAACTGCCCGAAAGGGCGCGGTCCCACGATCGAGTCAATCTCAATATGGCGTCGGCCATTTGAGCAGGGGTGCGCTGGTCGAGTCTGGACCGGTCTCGGGCGTCGCAGTTCCACCAGGCGGCATGGTGATGTTGGGATATTGCAGCGCGGCGGCAAGTTTGTGAGAGTTGAGAAGCTTCTCGGTCTGTCGGGCGAGCTGACTCCTTTTATTGGCGCGCCGCCAAGACAGGTCACGCTGTTTCCGGGTCCGCTGGGTGGGCAGTGGCTGCGCGGCCGGCTTGCGGCGGTAGCTGCGGCGGTGGTGGCAGCGGCGACGCTGTGGTCCGCCAGCAGCTCTCTGCCGCACCAGAGGCGTCGGCGGCGGCGGCGCCGCCTCACGGCCGGCGGCCTGCTCACGCGGCGGCCCGGTCGCCCCGGCCGGCCGCTGCGGCGCCTGCCCAGCGGTCCCAGAAGCCGGCGCGGCGCGCGATGGACGGCCACGCGACGGACGGCCACGCGACGGACGGCCACGCGACGGACGGCCACGCGACGGACGTGATCTCTGCACGGCGGCCAGCAGCTGAGGTTCGAGGAGCTTGGCGATCCGCTGGGCGAGCTGCTCAATTCCTGGAGACGTATCAGCACTGTCCCTGCAAAAGACACTTATTCGAACCGGGCATGTGCACTGTGCAGAGATACCCACGGGACAGCCCACTGGCTAGCATAGGCACAGTACGTTGTCAAGGTTGTAGTTACGATGTCTAGTATCATATCCGTTTTGCAATGGTTTTCGTTAATGAACAATGAAATGACATTCATCCATGTTCGCAACAAATCATGAAAGTAGAAAGTATAAATGAAAGTGATTTGCAAAATATCCTTACGTCGCCCATTGCAATAAAACGGCAGATGCTCCCTTGCAAATGAAATCATGTAGCTAATATAGCAGCAAGCCATGCGCTGTTTTCCTTTGGGCGTGCATCATCGCTGCCCTGTGAAAATGACTGACTTCTGACCGCGTTCGGCAGGCCCACTACCAGGAGCTGCGCTCGCGGGAGACCAAGTCGCGCGAGGAGTACGCCATGGCCGCCGAGAAGCAGCGCGACCGCCGCGAGGAGCGTGTGCGCGGCTTCGTCGTGTGCGCCGCCATCCTGGCCATGGCCGCGTATGTGGGTCTGCTGACGGACGACGGGCTGGCGCGCGGCGGCGCTTCCCCGGCCCGGCCGCCGCCGCCGCCGCCGCCCTGACACCCGAGTCAGTAGATAGCTGGTCTAGCCACGGGGAATAAGTCGCCTTTTGACGGACTTTAGACGCACCGCGGTAAGTGCGCCGGGTAATTTCTGTTATTGTTGACTGACTCGGTGTTTTGGGTGGACTACGCGAGTGACCGCCGGTACTAAAGATGGCGATCGTGAAGCGCAAAAGCGGGGTGGCTGAGCATATAGCTGTGGGACTGAGCTTGTGGCTGTGGCACCGTGCGACGTGCAAATGTGCAAAAAACAAGCCGGCGAGTTACCCAGCCCTACCGCCTGTCATAACCGACAGAATTAGTAACTTTGTCCCCCATCAAATAATGTCAAAGAAGTACTTATGGGAAGGATGTCCGACAACTGATAGTGATCGCATTGCTATCCGCATATCGGACATTTACCTGTAACAGGACGTATGAGACGTTTGTTCCTGCCCTTCGACCGGGCTGACGCTAGATAACTACCTGACGAGTAGCGCGATACGACTGATGAATATGAGCTGATCCCTACTGGACGAGGAAGCTAGCGGCACACTCTTGCCATGTAAATCATGCCCGCGTGTAACCTGGTGCAATAGAGAATACAAGAATGATACTATCGCAACAGCACTTGCAGCACTCGCCTGGCGTTTCCGTCATATATTGACATGCTGCATCTACCATTCATCGGTATAACACTCGGGCAAATATCGATATCAGTCGTGCGACGGCGGAGCCCCACACCATGCGTGCGTGCCGCTGTCACTCAATATAAGTGTGATCACATGTTGCAAATAGCGCAATAGGAAATCCAGCCGATCCATGCGGTCCCCCGCCACACCAAAGCTGCCTGACGGCGGCTCAGTACCGCGGCAGAGGCATGCCTCCGGGCACGTACGGGTACGGCATAGCCGGCGGGGCCGGCATGTACGCCGGGCCGGCCGGGTATGGGCCGGGAGCGCTGCTGGCCGGGTAGGGCACGCCGCCGCCGTACGGCGCCGCCGGACTGGCCGGGTATGGCGTCGGCACCGAGCTGGGTGGGTAGGGCACCGAGCTCGGCGGCGGTCGGTACCGCCCGCTGGCGCCGCCGCCGCCCCCAGAGGACGCCGCAGACGGCAGCAGCTCCTTCAGCTTGTCCACTTTGACGCGACGCGCGATGGCCGTCTGCCGCTTGGGCAGGTAGAGCTCCAGAAAGTTATCGATGGACATTTCGCCACGGAGCATCGATTGCACCAGGTTCTGTCGGAGCAGGTGGGTGGCGGTCAGTCCCGTCAGCGAGCCGTCAGTTCCGTCAGCGAGCAGCCAATTATGCTAGTCTGACACAGAACGGCGGTCTGTCTGTCTCCGGCCTGTCTTTCTATCCAGTCACCAATTTGTGTGTCCTCGGTCTGTCTGTCCGTCTGTCTGTATGCGTCTCCAGTCCGTCTGTTCACGGCTGTCTCCTTTTTGCTCATCACCTCAGACTCCTCGGCCTGAGCGGCGGCCGTCTGCCAGTCTGTCCGCGACTGTCTCTCACCTCAGACTCCTTGGCCTGAGTGGCGGCCGTCTGCCAGTCTGTATGTCTGCCAGTCTGTCCGCGACTGTCTCTCACCTCAGACTCCTTGGCCTGAGCGGCGGCCATCAGCCAGTCTGTCTGTATGTCTTTCTATGTGTCTCCGGTCTACCCGTCCGCGACTGTCTCTCACCTCGGACTCCTAGGCCCGAGCGGCGGCCGTCTGCCAGTCTGTATGTCTATCTGTCTGTCCTCGACTGTCTCTCACCTCGGACTCCTCCTCGGCCTGAGCGGCGGCCGTCTGCAGCAGCGCCAGCGTCGTGTCCAGTGGCTGGTCCACCACTGCCGGACAGGGATAAACAATCATCATACCCACTACACCATTAACGGCTGGTCAACCACTGCCAGAGAGGGACAGACAATCATCGTAACGTTACAGCAGCGGCCAGTCAAATTGGGCGAGTGGGACGGACTGGCCCAATGGTCATAATCACTGGTCAGATGTCACTCAGGCTGGTAAGGATCTGAACAGTTGGCTTCAGTTTCAGAAGTACATCCAAACATTCAAACCAAATCAAAAACAAAAACCAAGCTGAAAAGGTGATGACAGTACACAGGTAAAAACAATGCATGGTGAACAAGCCTGTCACTCAAACTTGACTGACCATTGAGATTGTCTCGTTTCTCTCGGATCTGCTGCTCCTGGCTCTCGGCTTCCTCTAGCTGCTGACGCACAAGGCTCTTGAGCTCCATGATACGTGGCTGGCGTGACAGGTTGTACTCAGCCAACGACTTGTTGCCAGCCACTGCAAAGTCACGCTTGTTGCGCAATGCCTGGATCTGAAGCATGTACATTAAACGGAGTTAGGAATATTTTCTTAAATTTTGCAATGACTTTGGCAAGCAGCTGCTATGAATGGTAGGTAATTACAGAATAGAAAAATGCTGCTGAGTTTATGTACCACCAATGGAGTGCTTTAAATTACACTTCCATAAAAATGGACTACATTGGCTGAATATCTAAAATTAATTGCGTAGGTGTTCAGGAAATAGTTTAAAAACCTTCAAAAATCAACAAAGCATTTAATGCTATTAGTAGCCTGGCGTCACACGAAGATGCCAGATGTCGACGGTTGAGAAATTCCCTAGATATCTAGAGATATTCCTCGGAACGCTGTGTACGCTAGTTCGTCATCATCATCATCATGTATTCTTATGTTCGTCCACATTCGATGGCTTTTCGGAACAAGTGTCAGGTTTACATAAAACCAGGTACCTATTAAAAGTAAAATATGCAGCATAAAAGTAAGATTGCACCCTACACTAAAATATTAAAATACACATGAAACACGCCTAAAAGTTATCAACACCATTTAAAAAAGTATCAGTGTCCTATTTAGGTGGAGGTCGTCAGCCACTTTCTCGCCCTTCTCCGACAGACTCTGGCAGAGCGGGACTCTCTCACTTCCGCAGGAGCGCGGTTCCAGAGTGAGACAGCACGACAAAAGAACGACTTCCGTGCGTGTTCACTGCGCACTCGAGGGATCTGCAGCGAGCCGGCTAGAGAGCCCCTCGTGTCCCTGGTGGAGACGTCACTGCGGTGTGCGATTTGGGCCGTGAGGCCGGTTGGCGCTTGGTCGTTATTGAGCAAGTAGTGCATTTGCGATGCGTCGCGCTCGGCCACAAGGTTGTCGAGTGACGGCCACTCCAGTTTCGCTAACAACGGCGTGACATGGTCGCGTCTCCTCGCCCCCTTCACCACCTGCGCACAGTGGTTTACCACTTTCTGTAGCCGATGGCGCTGGGTGGCGTTGCAACCAGCCCATACAGTAGAGCAGTAGGCGAGATGTGGAAAGATGAGCATTTCTACAATCATTTTCTTTACAGACTCCGGCAATTTGCCAGCCATTTTTGATAGGCCTCCGAGTGTGGCATAGCAGCGTCTGACTGTGCCAGACACATGCTTCTCAAAAGTCAGCCCTGCGTCTACATCCATCCCCAGCACTTTCACCGTTGAAGACGGTCTGATTGAAGCATCGCCAAGTTGAACAGAAAATTCAGAGGTTAACAACCTCCTGTTTGACTTGATAAGAATAAGATCCGTTTTAGTGGGGTTAATTTTTAGACTGTTTTCGTTAAACCAACTGTGCGCGGTGGCTACGGTGCGCTCAACACTCGCTTTCAGTTGAGACAGATCGTCGGGTCTACTCCGGTGCAAAAACTGGACATCATCGGCGTACATGACTATTTTGGACTCCTCTGTGTCTATGTAGGACACTAAATCGTTTGTAAAAATTAAAAATAACACTGGGCCGATCAGGGACCCCTGCACCACGCCATGCGTAATGGGCAGCGTGTCACCTGTACCACCTCTCACAGCCTGTCTGCGCCCGCCGAGCCAGTTCACAAACCAGTGGGTATCAATCCCGTACCAGCCGAGCTTCTCCAGGAGCCGGGGATGCCGAACGCTGTCGAACGCCTTGGACGTATCGGCCGTGGTAAGGCAGCCAATGAGTCCACGGTCCATCCCGTCCATTAAATACCCAACAGCGTCCAGCATCGCCGACTCCGTGGATCGGCCCGGCCGGAACCCATGCTGTTCATCGCAGAGTATGTTGTGTGACAGTAGATACGACATCAGTTGGAGACAGACAACACTCTCTACCAGCTTCGCGACAGTCGGCAAAATTGATACGGGCCGGTAATTGCTGGGGTCTGCTGTACTCCCTGCTTTATGGATGGGAGAAACTGTTGCGATTTTCCACGACACTGGCAGCTCTCCCGACACAATGGAAGAGTTCACGACACTAAGTAAATGCGGCCCAGTCACTTCAAATGTCATGCGCAGCATCTCAATGGTAATCCCATCATCCCCGCTCGCCCTCGAGGTCGACATTCGCTGGAGCGCTGCTGACAGCTCCGGTAGAGTTGCCGGTCGCACCTTGAACGCACCGCTCACCACGCGGGAGGGGCGCGGGGGCAGTCGGTCCGCCCCATTCCGAGTCTGCTCCAATGCGTTCGCCACTCGAGCCCCCACCGTAGCGAAGTGCGCGTTGAGCTTCTCAGCCCACTGACTGCCACGTTCACACGTGTCGGTGCGGTGTGCGCCTCCCCTCGGTGCGATCAGATACCGCCTGATGTCAGTCCATGTTGTCCGCCTCGCGTGACGGTAGGATGACAGAAAGAACGACGATCTGGCCTGACACTGCGCACTCTTCACCCGGTTGCGGCACACGGTGCAATAGTTACTGTCCGATTACCAAAGTTAAGGTCTCAAACGAATCCTCGATTCACGGACTACCTTCACCGAGGTTCACGACCTCCAAGGTCATGACCTAGGTCAACTTCAAGGTCAAATGACAGAAAACGCCCTACACACCAAAGTCACTGACCGATTACCAAAGCTAAGGTCTCAAACGATTCCCCGATTCACGGACTACCTTCGCCAAGGTTCGTGACCTCCAAGGTCATGACCTTCCAGGTTAATATCAAGGTCAAACGACGGAAACCGCTCTGCACGCCAAAGTTAGCGACCGATTTCCAAAGGTAAGGTGTCAAACGATTCCCCGATTCACGGACTACATTCACCGAGGTTTTGACCCTCAAAGTCATGACCTTCCAGGTCAACACCAAGGTCAAATCACAGAAAGCGCCCTACACGCCTAAGTTACCGACCGATTACCAAAGTTAAGGTCTCAAACGGTCTCAAACGATTCCCCGATTCACGGACTACCTCCACCGAGGTTCATGACCTCCAAGGTCATGACCTTCCAGGTCAACATAAAGGTCAACCGACGGAAACCGCTCTGCACGCCAAAGTTAGCGACCGATATCCAATGTTAAGGACTCAAACGATTCCCCAAGTCACGGACTACCTTCAGCTCCTCCGGGTCCTCCTCCAGCTCCTCCTTGTCCTCCAGCTCCTCCTGGTCCTCCTCCCCCTCCGGGTCCTCCTCCAGCTCCTCCTTGTCCTCCAGCTCCTCCTGGTCCTCCTCCCCCTCCGGGTCCTCCTCCAGCTCCTCCGGGTCCTCCTCCAGCTCCTCCGGGTCCTCCTCCAGCTCCTCCTTGTCCTCCAGCTTCTCCTGGTCCTCCTCCAGCTCCTCCGGGTCCTCCTCCAGCTCCTCCTGGTCCTCCTCCAGCTCCTCCGGGCCCTCCTCCAGCTCCTCCTTGTCCTCCAGCTCCTCTTGGTCCTCCTCCTGCTCCTCCGGGCCCTCCTCCAGCTCCTCCTTGTCCTCCAGCTCCTCCTAGTCCTCCTCCAGCTCCTCCGGGTCCTCCTCCAGCTCCTCCGGGTCCTCCTCCAGCTCCTCCAGGTCCTCCTCCAGCTCCTCCTTGTCCTCCAGCTCCTCTGGGTCCTCCTCCAGCTCCTCCGGGTCCTCCTCCAGCTCCTCCGGGTCCTCCTCCAGCTCTTCCGGGTCCTCCTCCAGCTCCTCCTGGTCCTCCTCCAGCTCCTCCGGGTCCTCCTCCAGCTCCTCCGGCTCCAACATTTCCCAGGAGCATCCGCCCACGGTTATACTTCCTCTTGCCTCGAAAAAGACTCTCGTCTATTTCGACGATGTCACCTGGGCCTCCCATAGGACCGGCCACGTCCAGTGCCGTCACGAACAGTTCGCGAACGTAATGCCGCCAGTCGATGATAGCGACTCTCGATATCGGCATCACTTGGCGAGAGTAGTGGGCCGTTTGGGTGACAGACATGCCGTTCGCCATCGCATATGTACAGCCCACCGCTAAAGTAATGTAGGGTTTTACCAATCTCAACGGTTGGCTTTGACTGGCGATTGTTTAATGCGGAGTGATCGAAAAGAAGATGTCAATAGCTAAAGTTGCAGCTGCAAGGGTGACGATACATATAAGCTACATTCAAAGTTTCATTGTAGTCTGGCTATTCGTTCCTAAGCTTCAGAAGCAGAACATACCCATGACTGAAAGCCCACATTACTTCTGCTGTGGACTGTACATTATCCACAACACCGCCCGTTTGGACAGTTTTACGTTCGGCCTGCCGGCCGCATCCAGGGAGGCGAACCAAGTGCCATGGTGAGCGGCTGGGTTCACTGCCCTCATGCCGTGCAATTGAGACAGCTGTTTTCGACATTTTACGCACCTGAACCGAGGCTTTGGCCCATTTCGAAAGTGCCGTATCGCGGTGGTGACCCTTCCGTCAAACTGTGGCAGATTTGGGTTGAAGTTCAGCTCTCCACATATCCCCCAGAAGTCCTGAATGAGCCGCTGCGGTCGGGCCGGATCTCGAGGAACAGGTTGAGGAGCTGGAATGAGTCCTGCCCATCTGCAAAAGTCTATGGCATCATCCTCACTAGAAATATCCCGGATGAACTGGAACATGTCGGGATCGGCCATACCCGCTACCCAGCGCGCAACTTGCACGCAACTAAGGAATGAGTCGGAGCGCGCGCCGGCTGGCGCCAAATAAAAGGCGCGCCATAAAACACGTGATTTAAACCGCTCCGCCTACCTCCTTTTTACTAGGTACCGCATATGTACACTTTATGTACAGGCTGGGGCATGATCGCCGCTCGTTTCGCTCGTATGTGACTTAAAATCAGCAAAGTCCCCCCCCCCTTCTACAAGTTTTGTGATCCTGATCAATATTTAGAGTACTTTGGGAGTTAAAAGTTTTCGCGAAAAAAAAGGTTTTTGACATAACTTTGGGAATCGTTTGAGACCTTAACTTTGGTAATCGGTCGCTAACTTTGCCGTGCAGAGCGGTTCCCGTCGTTTGACCTTGTTGTTGACCTGAAAGGTCATGACCTTGGAGGTCAAGAACATCAGTGAAGGTAGTCCGTTAATCGGGAATTCGTTGGAGACCTTACCTTTGGGAATCGTTCGCTACCTTTGGCTTGCAGAGCGTTTTCCGTCGTTTGGCCTTGATGTTGACCTGGAAGGTCATGACTCTGGAGGTCACGGATCTTGGTGAAGGTATTCTGTGAATCGGGGATTCGTTTGAGACCTTAACTTTGGTAATCGGGCGGTAACTTTGGCGTGTAGGGCGCTTTCTGTCATTTGACCTTGGTAATGACCTGGAAGGTCATGACCTTTGAGGTCATGAATGTTGGAGGAGGTAGTTCGTGAACTGTGGAATCGTTTGAGACCTTAACTTTAGTAATCGGTCGCTAGCTTTGTCGTGCAGAGCGGTTTCCGTTGTTTGACCTTGATGTTGACCTAGAAGGTCATGACCTTGGAGGTCATGAACCTCGGTGGAGGTAGTCCGTGAATCGGGGAATCGTTTGACACCTTAACTTTGGAAATCGGTCGCTAACTTCAGCGTGCAGAGCAGTTCCCGTCGTTTGACCTTGATATTGACCTGGAAGTTCATGACCTTGGAGGTCACGAACCTTGGCGAAGGTAGTCCGTGAATCGGGGAATCGTTTGAGACCTTAGCTTTATTGATCGCTTGGTAACTTTAGCGTGTAGGGCGTTTTCTGTCATTTGACCTTGAAGTTGACATGGGAGGTCATGACCTTTAAGGTCATGAACCTCAGTGAAGGTAGTCCGTGACGTGGGAAATCGTTTGAGTCCTTAACTTTGGATATCAGTCGCTAACTTTGGCATGCAGAGCGGTTTCCGTCGGTTGACCTTTATGTTGACCTGGAAGGTCATGACCTTGGAGGTCATGAACCTCAGTGAAGGAAGTCCGTGAATTGGGGAATTGTTTGAGACCTTAACATTGGTAATAGGACGACGGACAGTAACTTTAGTATACACAGCGTTCCGAGGAATATCTCTAGATATCTAGGGAATTTCTCAACCGTTGACATCTGGTATCTTCATGTGACGCCAGGCTTACTAATACCCATTTAATTAAGATGTGCAATTCATACTCACAGCTCCAGCATCATTTATCTTGTCATTTAGCTTGTCATCTTCATTAAGAAGCTGTTTGAGCTCATCCGTGCTCAGCGAATGTAGGTTGAGTGAGCTCAGCACTGACTGGATCGCCGACTCCACCTCACTTGGGGCGGAGTACATGTTCGCTGCACGGACAAAAAATATATTTAACATTTAATTACAAATTGATAAATGATGATGAGAATTTCGTCCAGAAAATGTTAATTAAATATCAATTTAGTTTAGCCCTTACCTTATGACTCAGACTGAATCGCGAACGTCACAGATGCGTCATTACCATGAAGAAAGAAATATAGGCACATCAATGCGAATCAACTCGTGTTGCATTAAAATCCTTATTTTTTTCTGGAAAATAAACAATGGAAACTGCAAGTTAGACTTATTATGGATGAAAAAGCGAACCACACGACCATAAATACAGAGGGGTGTTCACGGGCACCGCACACTGCTGCGTGCGCTGTGTGCGGTACGTCCAGCAGGCGTGGGGGTAGGGGATGGGTAGGCGGCTCTGACGTCACGGCTGCGTGCGGTGGACGGTCCGCTGTGGCCAGTCCCGACCGGCCACAGCGGTCGCTGTGTGCGGTGACGGAAGGCTGACGTAGGGACGCAGTGGGCGGAGCTTGGAGGCTGTGTGCGGTCCGACCGCACACAGGGCCCGTGAACAGCCCTCAGGAGCAACAGGAACCAACAAAACGTTTCAAGGTCGCGTTTCCAGCTACGTTTCACCCTGCGTTCGATGTCTCTCGGACGACGAAGATTCTACGCCGTCCGGCCAATCCCGTCCAAGGTCAGCGGGGGCTCAGCTGCGGTTATGGAACGTGATTGGCCGGACGGCGTAGAATCTTCGCTGTCCGAGAGACATCGAACGCGGGGTCAGTGTCATAGTCGTCCATGGTGTCATATACATTATTGGTGGTCTAAAAAGCTACCAAAATCTCCTCTATCTTACAAAAACCAGTTACCTCAAATTTTATGAGTTAATTATGGCCTCTTTCAATCACTTTTTCAAGTTTATTCCCACACTTTGATTTTAATCGCTACAAGCAGGCATGAAACGAGTAGACCATCAAATACCTAAAAAAAATACTGGACAAATATGCTGCAAGACTGATGCTCCAATAACGATTCGGACAAAATGCTTCGGCCTTCGAGAATGCTGCCTCAGCCCTCAAGTATGCATTTGTGTGCTTTTCTGACTTTTCTGCGATGGTCGTTTCTTTACATAAGAGAGGATCAATAGCCACGCTGCTAAATGCTACCACGTTGCTATCGCATTTCGCAAGGTGACGTCACATATTGTGGTAATGTTGAAGATACCGAGCTTGTTGATGTCCCCACGGAAACCCAATTTGACAGGTGTGATAGCACTAGCAGCGCGCTGGTAGCGGCCGTATAGGCGGCGGAACGGGGAGGGCACCGGGGCACTGTGCCCCCCTTTGATTTTGGCATTTTAACATTAGCCCTATGGGCGTTGCATGGAAAGAATGGGACCAAAAGTCGGCAGTGCCCCCCCCCCCCTTAATTCAGGGCGTTCCGCCGCTACTGAGCGGCCGTGAAACAGGGCTCCGACTTGCTGCACCCGTTTACGTATGTTACTTGTCAGGAGGGCTGCTAGCAAACTCGATACGTGCCAGTGGGCTTCTCATTAGAGATGGGAATCTCGGGGGGGGGGGGGGGGGCTGAAAACGAAATACTGCTCTTTAAGTCAATGGTACTGCATCCAGCCCGCCTCCATCTGCCCGGCCTAGACCCCCCCTCCTGAAATATTGATATCTCCACCCTTGCTTCTCATGTCACATTTGATAACAGCATTGACTGCACTTATTTCTAGTAATTATTGAACGGGGCGGATGCTTTAGCGCTAGCGATGCTAGAAACGGGAGGCAGTCAAGCAGGTAAGCTTATCATTTACAGAGGCATCAACCGAATTGCAGAATTGACACATCATCCTTGTGACATCACTGACTCAAAAACTGCACTCTGACGCCTTCACTTTTATTATCCCGAAAAAAAAAAACGCGAACAACGTTTATGGTTCAAAAATAAGCGTGGCAGCGATGTATCCACGTTCCTCGCGATCAAAAGCGCCATCTTAAAATACCACTCGTCTAAGACCAACAACCGCATACCATTTCGTCTGCCAGACACTTTTACCCGTCTGACCCAGCCGCACGGCGTCAATAGCCCCCAGCGCGTCCAGTAAATGGCCCACTGGACTGGTCACGAGCGGATGTCGGCTTCTCTACTCGCCGTATTCCATCTCCAGCTCCTTGTTCTTCTTCTTCTTTTTCTTGGGAGTGGCCTCCTCCTGAGTGTCATTTAGCTCCATTGTCGAGTCCCCGTTCACCTCATCCAGATGCTTACGCTTCTTTTTCTTCTTCTTCGGCTCCTCAGCATCTTCAACTTGTGACATATCCAGCGTAGTGTCACCATTTTCGCCGTTCTCACTCTTATTCTTCTTCTTCTTTTTCTTCTTCTTTTCTGACTTGGCCTCCACCAGGACGCTCTCATCCATGGCTTCCTTCATGACCTCGGCGTTCTTGCGTGGGATCTCGCCAGTCTCGTAGAACTTGAGTCGCTCCTCAACCTGTTCGCGAAGCTTCTCACCAAAAACGGTGTTGGTTGTCTCTGAGAAGCAATCGATACGGCTGGCGATGCTGCACTTGTTGGCGAGATAGCGCGAGATGCGTCCCTTGTTTTTGGCACCGGCGCGTCCGATGAAGGTGGAATGGAAGAGAAGGCCGTATTTGGGCGTGTTACCGCGTGTCTTGAGCGCACGGAAGAGGGCCTTCTCGGCGCCCAGAATCTGCACCGTGGAGGCCGGGTACTTGGCCAGGTTGGTGAGCGATCCGGCGTGCGAGATGAGGCGCGCGGCCACCGTGTCACCGACCAGCTCGCCCAGGTTGGGCGCCACCGCACCCATCTTCTCCTTCAGGTAGTTCTGCAGGCTGGTGCGGTACTCGGACAGCGCCACCACACGCTTGGCGAACATGTCGATGTTGATCAGGTCCAGTGGGGAGATGTCCATGCCCATCGACGACTTGGACGCCTCGTAGATGGCCTGCGCCTTGGCCGAGTCCATGAGGATCTCCTCGAGCTGAGGGATGATCTCCTCAGTCATCTCCTTGCGGTTGCGGATGAGCTGCGTGCAGCGCGCGTACATGTAGTTGTTGGGCACGATCTTGACCAGTTCCGGGAAGTGATACGAGTACCACTCGCGGATGCGCATCGAGAACGTGTTCACGTCCTTGTCCAGCTGGTCCAGCAGCGCGATGCTCTGGATGATCATGTTGTCCGACTTGTTGACGTTGAACTTGACCTTGGCACGCGAGTAACTGTGGCCGAGACCGAGCTGCGCCTTGCCCGAGTTGACCAGTGTGAAGCCCTTGACCATGTTGTGGACGTGCAGCCGGATTCCGCGCAGGATCTCGGGCACGGCACCCGTGTGCTGGCACTTGACGCCGAGCGCCTCGGAGATGGCGGCGCCCAGCTTCGGCTCCGACACGCCCAGGACCACCTTCTTGCGCTTGCTGGGCAGGTTGGTGTCCAGGAACAGCTGCAGGTCCTCGGTGGCGATGCCCTCGGACACGGCGTTCATGTTCTCCAGGGCGTTGGCGCCGGTCTTGAAGGGCGCGAAGCCCGTCAGGTGGACGATCGAGTTGAACTTGGCCAGGTCGGTGACGGAGGCCTCCACCTCTGGCAGCAGCATGCCCGTCTCCTCGAACTCCTTGACGCCGAACAGCACGTAGCCGGCGGCGTGCTCAAACAGCACCTGCATGCCCGCCATGGTGGTTCACTGCCGACAACGGGAAGGGTGGGGAGTGCACATTGTTAGACATTTGGTACGCTCCATTTGACATTTGTTGTAGTCTTGTTATAACTTTCAACAACATTTTTTTTCTCCCAAATATACATAAAAGAATAAAATTCGACGAAACAAGTATCGTTATTATTCATATCATTTCAGCATAAGCGTATTTTTATACTGCATTTACTCGTGATGAACCTTTCCGTAACAGAGCCAATATTTGACGCTTCCTGTGCAAACCCCGATGTCCACCGACCAATGGCAATCGGAGTTTGGGAAATTTCGGAAAGGTAGCATAATTGAATTTAAGCTTCTGGGATATCACCGATTATGGCGATCTATAGGCGGATAGTATCGGTCATCGGTGCCCAGTGGTAAGTACCACCATAAGATCTCTATGAGTACCACAAAATGTCAGTACAACAGAAAAGCGCCAAAGATTTGTGTCACGTGCAAGACGCCTTCTTTCTTTCAAATACCAGTCAAATACTGCCTGAAAACTGAAAATGCTCCTTCATTTCTTCATTTGGTCCTGGCCTAGAAGCAAGAATTTATGTGAGGTATTTAAGGTGGGGATTATCCAGGGTGTGGGGTTAGGTTAGGGGTGGGTCTATTTTTTCCAAGCTCATGTCGGTTTTATCAAATTGCCACGTAATATCAACTTCAACAAGAAGCATCTTAAGACAGCAAGTGTTATAACAGTGAAGTGAAAAGTGAAGCAGCAACTCCCTTACTAATGCTCAATCCTTATTACAACATTTATCAGCCTTAGAAGAGATGCCAAGGTGAAAATGATAAGTGCGCCGACCACCGGAAGGCCCTGGTAACACACAGCTACACAAATGGAGCGTGACGAAAGCACAAAACACAGGAAGACCGTGTCTTAAGACATCATAGATGTAAACTTTTATAATGTCAAGGCTATGCCTCATAGACGGCATCGAGTTCGAGTGCACGTCCACAATCGGTATGTGAGGACACAGCCCGCCCAGCAAACAGGCTGCTGCAAAAAGCGATGCAAAAAAGGATCGGTAAGTAAATGAAGGACGCAGACACCTGTGAATGAACAAATGATAAAAATAAGCCATTCATCCAGACTAACACTAAATAACAGCTCAAACATGGGTAATAAAAGCCTCCGATCCTGCCTACGTTTAGTGCCGCTGCATAAACAACACTATCGCAGTTCATTCTTATGTTTCTCACGGTAACTTAGTCATCAAAGGTCAAATTGGAGTTCTAATCGAAAGGCAGTGTAACCGCTACTCAAACCCAACAGCGGTTATCGCTGCCGGCCGACTACCCCGGCGGCGCCGACCCCGCTGAGTTACGCCCGTGTCGCCAGCGGTGCCGGCGTGGCGGAGACGCCCTGTACCAGCCGGAGGGCAACCCATGTGACCGGCCGGTGGGCGCCGGCGTCACCCGGAATGGACAGCAGCAGCGGCGCGGCTGCCAGCGCTTCCACTCGGCCGAGGAGGTGTGTCGCCGGGGCTGCGGCCGGAGGGGCGGCCCGCGCGCGGACACAGCGGCAGCCGAGGACGGTCGGTACGCCGGGTACGAGTCGGACGGCGGCGGCCGGCCGTGCAGCCGCTCCGGCCCGGCCCGGACACTAGCCGGCGGCTGCGACAAGCGGGCCACCGGCTCGCGGCCCGGTACGCCCTGCGAGCGGTTCAAGTCGGCCGAGGAGACGTGTCGCTCCTGCCCTAAGCGGGGCGGGGACCGACAGCGGTACGGAGACCCCGGAGGGCGCAACTACACCGTCTACACGGCCCAGGTGCAGCAGCCAGAATTCGCCGGGAAGCAGCTCTCTGTGCAGGCCTCCCCAGACGGGCCAACCGCAAACCAGCCAGTGACGGTCCCCTGTGGACAGGACACCAAACTCCCACACTGTCCGGATCCAAACGAGATAACCGAGGAGATAATCCATACACGGGAGCACCGCTGGCACATCCCGTCGGCGGCCCCGGCGGTGAGTGACCCGTGTGCCTCGCCGCCGGGGCCGGGGCGGCGCGGCGGCCCCGGCTCCTCGGACGGCTCGCTGGGGACGGCGCCGCGCTCCCGGAGGGCGCCGGTGCCCCTCGGCGAGTCCGACTCGGACCGCGGCCGCCGCGCGCCGCCGTCCGAGCCCGGCGTGCGGCGCACCCGCAGCGAGCTGCTGGCCGGACGGCAGCTGGTGGCCCGCATCGCGCGCCAGGTGGAGCTCGACGACGGCACGGCCGCCGAGCACCAGCTCGTGTACCGGCTGAGCGCCCAGTACAGCCGACAGTTCGCCGACTACGACTCCGGCTCGGAGAGCGACTCCGAGAGCGAGCGGCGGCCGCCGGCGTCCGAGCCGGGCACGGAGCGGACCGGTCGCTCCAGCCGCACGGCCGACACGGTGCTGCGGATCGAGCGACTCCGGCTGGAGGAGGTCAGCGGCACGCCCAGCTCGTCCGACACCGGCGGCGCGCCAGCCGGCTCCGGCAGCCCCCGGCCGGCGCCCCGCTCGGCGAGGCTCGCCGAGCCGCCGTCCCCGCTGCCGCGCCGCCAGGTCACCTCTGAGCCGACCCTGCCGGCGCCGGCAGTGCGCGCTCCGGCCCCGGCCACCAGGGCCACCCGCAGCCTCGACTGCCAGCCAGTACCGCTGGACGGCAGAGAGGGACGCACTAAGAGGCTGCGGACCCGTGGAGCGCTGACTCGACTTCGGCAGGCCAGTGTCACCAGGCTTAACGAGGAGCGACAGCGACAGCTGCTCAATGAGCGCACCATCATACAGAACGAAGTCCAGCTGGCGGGGAAGCCGTCACCGGACCAGCCGGCGGGGAAGCCATCCCCCGACCAGCCGTCAGACGGAGCAGACGACGGCGGTCGGCGGGACATTACCGTGCTGCACGCGCAGAACCTGCTGCCGGCCGACTACCAGGGCCCCGGCTCGCGCGGGGACGCCGCCTCCGCCGCCGCCGAGCCCATCTACCAGAACGTGGATGCGCTGTACGACGGCGGCGCCGGGAAGCCGGCGGACAGTCCCGGCGGATTCTCGCCCGTGCAGCCGGAGGCGGCGTCCCCGTACCTGACCCGCGCCGACGACCTGTACCAGCCCGACCAGGCGCGGTACAGTGAGAACGGAAACTACGGGGAGTACGGCGCCGCCCGGTCGCCCTACCTGGACACGTCACCGGCGGGCCGCTCGGGCCGCGCCCGGTTCGACGACGACGACCATCTGGGCGCGGCGCTGTACGAGCAGCGCTACCAGCCGCGCTGGGACAACTCGCCGTACCTGAGTCGGCCCACCGGCGGCCCCGCGCCCGCCGCCGCCCCCGGCACCGACATCCGGGCGGGGGCGGCGCCGACGGGCGCCCGGCTGCAGCGCCAGGGAGGCCAGCAGAAGCTGGGCGTCGGCCGGCGCGGCGTCGGGCTCGGCCAGCGTCTGACGAGCGGCTTCAGCTCGCTGCGCCAGCGCGGCGCCGCGCTCTACCGCCGGCTGTCCGGCGGGAGGGGACAGGCCGGACGGGGACGGGGCCGAGGGCGCGCCGCGCCGGCCCGACCCGCGGCCAGGGGCGCGGGCAGAGCCGGCGGCCGTCGTCCGGGCGGCAAGGCTGACAGCTGCAGCTGCTCCGACTCGGACAGCAGCTGCGGCGCCGTCAACTGCTCGTTCCTCTTCTACTTTAACGGAGACGGCGGGCCGAGTCCGTTCATGTGCAACATACCGGCTGCCATCACCGGCAGCGGCGCCGGAGGAGCAGGCTCCATGCCGAAAAAGTACTGTGGAATGTGTGACTGACACCAAAACAACAACAAATATACATAGTGCAATAAAAGCCACCAGTGTAATGAAACTGCCCTGGGTAGAACAGGACTGGTCACCGGATAATTGCAATGCTCTTGTTGATCTAAGTTGACAAGCAGTAAAATATCAGCTGAAGTCACATCTACTCCACCATTGCAATTGGTTCATGGTAAAGAGAGAGAGAGAGAGGGGGGGGGAGAGGAGAGAGAGAGAGAGAGAGAGAGAGAGAGAGAGAGAGAGAGAGAGAGAGAGAGAGAGAGAGAGAGAGAGAGAGAGAGAGAAGAGAGAGAGAGAGAGAGAGACAGAAACATAGACGAAACAGAGACAGAGATAGAAGTAACTAGAATAGTTAGGTATTGATTAATTGATCATGGCTATGCTGTATAAAAAATTTACTGTATGCCTGGCCTATTCAAATACATTAGCCTGAGGGGTGTGGTAATAACTGGTGTAAGCAAAGTGACCACGGTCAAAAACGAATTACCAAGTCAACATTTTGGGGTGTCCTCGTTCAAAAAACGGCTAAGAGCTTCGGTCTAAACAATTATTTTATCGTTGGCATACAGTAAAATACATACCAAACTCGGCCGGTGATAAATTTTCAAGACCTCAGTCCTTACTGATTTTTGAACTCGGCCTTCGGCCTCGTTCAAAAATTCAGTAAGGACCTCGGTCTTGAAAATTTATTTACACCGGCCTCGTTCAGTATTATATAACACATCAGCCAGACCCGCCTTTTAACACATCTTACCTCAAGCAGTGGGCTGGTGCAAGTATTATCTGAATTCTGATGCTCTCTGCCACCAGAAAGTCTTTATGTTACCTTGTGAAGTAAGCTTTCTGTGAAAGAAAAAACAACTGGTAAGTTTAAGTGTAATGTAACCATAAGGCTATATGGGTGGGCTAAGGTGGGTTGGTATGTAATATAATGTGCAATAAAATGTTCTCAGTTAGGTAGGTAAAGATCATTTTTCATATTTGTTAACCCGCGCCCCATAGGGCTATCGGTGGACCCTGCCACCCGTAGGGGGGGGGGGGCATTTCGGCCCCCTAAAGGCCGCCCCACACTGGAACTCGCATGCGGGTTTTGAGTTTGCGGGTTTTGAGTTTGCGGGCACAATACTAATTCATAGTGATTAGACTGCTCCCTTATGGTAGGTAACTTCATGAATGCAGTGAAGCCGGTACACCTTCAGAAACTTGCATATATAGTCGCAATACCAGCAAAACGAACCAAAAATCGACTCCAACGATAAACCCGCAAACCTCGCAGACCTCGCCGGGCTCGCAGCGAGGAAAATCGAAAGGTGACTCAAAATCAACTTTTGGAATGCGATGCAAGGTCGCTCGCAAGCTAAAAACATGCAGACTCGCTTGTTAGATGGTAGTGTGAGTCACTCTGTTTAGATCGTATTACTTGCTTTTGAAGAAACCCGAAAACCCAAAAACTCGCAATCCGCATGCGAGGTCCAGTGTGGGGCGGCCTTAAAATGACCATCCCACCTTAACATTAGCTTTGAGTTGAGATAGCCAAATTGGTGGCCATGGCATGAAAATACCGGTTTGGGCACTCACCACATCGAAATTTTAGCTTTAATTCGGAGATATGGAATTTCAAACTTGCAGTTTTCGGATTCTCAGGGGCTAATGCATTGGTATGCCCCCTTAGAATTTGTGACGTCAACGGAGATCTAACGATTTTTAAATCTTTTACTAAAACGTATGGTAGCACGCCGTGGTATATGCTGCTTTGCGCGCAACAAATGCCGCACTTTCAAATAAAGTCGCTAGGAACAGCGGGGGCGTTCCACGACAAATCGACAAATAAAAAATTAAATTTGCACCCTCATATTTTATTTTTCGTTGAAAACTGGTGTAAGGGGTTGTGATGGGCGGGGAAGCCAGCTGTGACAAGGATTTTTTTCTCCGAACAACGGTTTCCGAGATATAGCCTCGGGCAATTCCTGGAGGTCGCGCTGCAGCCCTATGTTTGGCGGCCTATAACTAAAAAACTATTGGTTTTCTACGATAAAACCTTTATATGGTTCAACTCACAATCAGCCAACAAACATTTTGGCTATCTCGGATTTTCATTTTTTGAAAATTTTGATCACGTGACCTTTTGACCTATTTTTCGAAGAGTGACCTTGATATTTTCCCCACTGAAAGTTGCAATTTTGTCTGATGACGATTAAAGCCTTATCGATTGTCATTCATATGCGAAAATAAAAAATGTGGATATCGCCCTGCGTTGACCTCAGGTCAGGTAATTTTTATTACCTGTCCATTATTACGAGCGGGAGCGACAGCGAGATCTCGAGAATAAAGCAAGCTAGCGACAAGCGGTAAACGGTGCAGGGTACACACGGATAAGGTCTATAATTTTTACTGAGGTCATTTTCAGGTCAGGTCAAAGATGACGTCACAGGAGCAAAAAGGAAGTCAAAATTGCAGCACTACATATATATGAAGTTTTTCTCGAATAACTTTCAAGGTATCCCAGCTAGGAACAAACCAATAGCACCATCGTGATCCTCTCGTCGATCCGCATCGAAACACATGTATGTTGACCTCGAAAGGTCGAAAGGTCAAAAGTTGACCTTAGGTCACGTGACGAGCGGGAGCGACAGCGAGATCTCGAGATTAAAGCAAGATAGCGACAAGCGGTAAACGGTGCAGGGTACACACGGATAAGGTCTATAATTTTTACTAAAGTCATTTTCAGGTCAGGTCAAAGATGACGTCACAGGAGCAAAAATGAAGTCGAAATTGCGGCACTACATATATATGAAGTTTTTCTCGAATAACTTTCAAGGTATCCCAGCTAGGAACAAACTAATAGCACCATCGTGATCCTCTCGTCGATCCGCATCGAAACGTATGTATGTTGACCTCGAAAGGTGGAAAGGTCAAAAGTTGACCTTAGGTCACGTGACCTAAGGTCAACTTTTGACCTTTCGACCTTTCGAGGTCAACATACATATGTTTCGATGCGGATCGACGAGAGGATCACGATGGTGATATTAGTTTGTTCCTAGCTGGGATACCTTGAAAGTTATTCGAGAAAAACTTGATATATATGAAGTGCCGCAATTTTGACTTCCTTTTTGCTCCTGTGACGTCATTTTTGACCTGACCTGAAAATGACCTTAATAAAAATTATAGACCTTATCCGTGTGTACCCTGCACCGTTTACCGCTTGTCGCTATCTTGCTTTATTCTCGAGATCTCGTTGTCGCTCCCGCTCGTAATAATGGACAGGTCATAAAAATGACCTGACCTGAGGTCAACGCAGGGCGATATCCACTTTTTTTATTTTCGCATATGAATGACAATTGATAAGGCTTTAATCGTCATCAGACAAAATTGCAACTTTCAGTGGGGAAAATATCAAGGTCACTCTTCGAAAAATAGGTCAAAAGGTCACGTGATCAAAATTTTCAAAAATTGAAAATCCGAGATAGCCAAAATGTTTGTTGACTGATTGTGAGTTGAACCATATTAAGTTTTTATCGTAGAAAACCAATAGTTTTTGAGTTATAGGCCGCCAAACATAGGGCTGCAGCGCGACCTCCAGGAATTGCCCGAGGCTATATCTCGGAAACCGTTGTTCGAAGAAAAAAATCCTTGTCACAGCTGGCTTCCCCGCCCATCACAACCCATTACACCAAGTTTAAGCAAAAAATAAAATATGAGGGTGCAGGGCACTTGTCGATTTGTCGTGGAACGCCCCAGCGGAGATCTCAAAAAGTAAACAAAAGTAAAAGTCTAATATCTTGAAAACCGGTGAATATTTTTCGATGAAATTTGGTAGATATTCGTTTTTGCTCTTTCTGAACCGAGCGACATCACTGTCATTCCAATTCATTAACTTTTTTGAAGGTGGGAGGGTCCCTTTAACCCGCGCCCCGCTGGGCTATTCAGCCATACGCGCCCTGCTAGGGGGGGGGGGGCAGATTCTGCCCCCCTGTCTAACTTCGGAACCGATGGTCGTAGAAAGACGGGGAAAACGGCAAGCGAAAGCTCTCAACAAGGCGGATCTTTAAGAGCCCATTTTTTTGCTTAAGTGGGTCAGAGGTCAGGTCAAGGTCAGGTCAAGGGTACAAAATGCAAGTTTCTACAGTATCGGCCTTGCACCGTAGTTGCCGAAGAATGGACTGAGACTGATTGCCCAAGACGTGTTCTTAGGCTATCAAGACAATATTTGTTGCATACAATATCATTCAAAGGTCAAGGTCACGTCAGGTCAGGTCACCAAAAACAAAATATAGAAAAGGGCATGTGCAACACATGTTTTATGGGTCATTTTATTCATAGAATTCAATAGGCACACTCAATAAGTGATATGGACCACCTCTGGATGAATTTCAGGTCGAGGTTAGGTCAAGGTCAGCCGTCAGGCCAAGTGAGGTCAAATTCTGAAGTTGGTTGTTAAGGCTAAAAAGGTGTATAGTTGATGCAGTTTTTCACGGTGAATCGAATGGTGCTATTTTTTTATTTCATACGAGGTCTGGAACTTCCAAATGAATCATTTTTCAAAAGTTTTATCACTTTTGTGTGTCGTGACATCATAAAATTTTGAATTACCGTAAAATGGGGTGTTAAGGGACAGTGGGGTGTTAAGGGACAATTGCCTGGGAAAAACTTTGAGTCATATTAACTTCCTAATTTGAGAAGGTTCAATAAAAACTTCAGTGTGGTAGTTGACACTGTTTTGCTCTTGACCATAGGAGAAAATGGTATGGTTTTTCATGCAAGTGATTTGGTTCAAAAATGGATTTGAAAATCATGCTACATTTTCACAAAATTGAAACACCTCCAAAACTCTGTGTGTACCACATAAACTAGTGGTTGTACAGGGAAAATGAATGCATAGGTGTATTGTCACATGTATTGCACATGTTTCCTGAAAAACTTGTGCAAATCCACCCATTCATTCATCATCCTCTTCCTCTTTTCCAGATACATGCATATTTTGAGGTCGATGTGGGGTGCTAACGAACAGGGAAGAAAAAATAAAAAAAAATAATATCTAAATATAATTTAATTAAGTACGCATGGAAAACACCAAATTTCACATAAAATGCTGGCAAGTTCATGCTTTTATCTCGAACACATCTTAAGTTATGTAACAAAACATCTCAACACTCTCTTTTACAATGATGGGTCAATGGAGACTGATGTAAGTAAATGTAATGTCATCATAAAAAGGCTAAAACAAAGAGGTCAACATAATGACAAGTGACAAGCTTCAACATGGGTTTTATTGATGACAGAAGATTACTTTTTGGTTCTGTTTACCTTATAATTAGCACATTTTCCACAAGCGTAAACCGCATTACACGTAATTGGCTAAAAAGGTCATTAGTGGTGAATGAACCTGACTTGTTTTGTGACAGAATATGCGAAACATTTCAATAAATAAATTGTGTGCCCTTCCACACCCCAATTGTGGGCATTTGATGACCATTTCTTGGAATAATATAGGTGTCCCTTAACACCCCACATTGGGGTGCTAAGGGACAGTGATGAAAAATAATAAAAAATAATATGCAGGACAAATCTTAAAAACTTTAATGTGGCAGGCATGTAAAGCACCAAATTCCACATAAAATGCTGACAATTTGATGCTTCTATCTCCAACCATTCTTGAGTTATATAACAAAACACCTCAAAACTGTCCCTTAACACCCCATTTTACGGTACTCCATTTTTTTAACCGATTCTTCAAAAAATTGGTACCTAGGCGTGTAGGTGCACATAGACCACTTCTCTGACATGTATTTCATTTTTTTATACACTCCAAATTTTGGATTTATAATCATTTTTCCAAAAAGTCAGTTTTCTGAGAAAAAATTGGGCCAAAATAAAAAATCAAAAAACTGAGATAGCCGTTTGATAGACGAAGTAGAAACACGTATAACCTTTTTTGCTACGTCTCGATTCCTTTACAAATAAAGATGTTAGCGGCGTTTGAAATATTGCCGTTTTTTAGGCGAAAATGGCGAACATGACATCACTTAACGTCATTTTCTCAAAAATCTCCCGACGGATTTCGCTCAAATTTTCAGGAAACGTCTTAAATTGATGTATGATAAGGTACTGAAAGTTTGACGTCGCTGGCGTAATGCGTTTAGAAGTTGTTGGCGAAAGACGGGAGGTGGAGGGGGGCAGATCCTGCCCCCCCCCCAGCTGGGCGCGGGTTAAGATCTTGGAAAGCCAGCTTTACCATTGCAGCATAATGTTTCCCCATTTTTCATTATCTTTAATGTATGAAATAATGTCGCACATAATACCAAACTCAAATGTCAAAGCTGGTGCCTAACTGACCAACAAATGATCTGAATTAATTCGACAATCTGAGCGGTGAACTGGAAATTGAAATGGAACCCAGATAGAGTAACAACTTCACCAAAAGCATTCTATGCTATTTGGCTCAATGTACACCTAAAAGGAAAATTGCATTACCTCTGCTGGGTATCCTGGAAATCTATGACATTTTTCCTAAATCTATACGATTTTCCCAACGAATCTCACACTCGAAACAAAATGTCGCAAAATGCGACCACACACGTGTTTATCGAAACCGATACAAAACTGACGCAGATATGGAATGTGACGCAGTAATGGGAGGAATAATTATAGGAATAATAGAAAAAGTAATACTTGTTAAAGTAAATGGCTAAAAACATAAAAAGTCAGACGTAATTTCATTTCAAATTTAAATGAAACAAATTGAGAAAAATTTTAAAAAACAGCGGAAGAACTCTTATTTTGAAACTCTTGGGGCATTGCTGTTTCCATAGCAACCATCGATGCTGCGTACTAATTTGTTTTGATGTGTTTGTCATCATAAGTCATCATCGTATACCTCTTTCGACATTAGTTTAAGAAATTTTTGAGGAGTCACATTGCTGGTTTGGGTGGGATACTAGAGATATTTGAATTTCATTTCCATAGCACCGTAATTTAACCCATACAAATGCTACGTCAACGTGGGTCTCAAATTTGGACGTTGTTACCCGCGTTGCTGAGGCATATTCGGATCCCTAACGCCGTAGCGTAGCATCGGAAGACACGTCCAGAGCGGGTACCTATAGCATATAGGGCCTTGCCTATAGCTTGGGACATCGTGATGAATTTTAATGTAACGCCTCAGGCCTATAAGTAAAGTAATCTTGTCTCAGGCCCACTGTCACAGGCCCTAATCCTGAGACAGAATACAGAGCTGGTAGGTTAGGTACAGGTCTCGCGGGTTTTAGCGATAGGTTTTGCATCTAGAAAAGTTTGGTGTACTTCAGGCTATGTCTTCGTCGTTTTTTCGTCGTTTTAAGTGTTGAAGATGCAATCGACTTGTTGGTTCACAAACCGGCCACGATCGTGTAAAATGGCCTCATCGTAGATCGATTAGTTTCTGAGATATAACCGGAAATGTAAAAGTGCAAAACCTACCGCTTAATTTCGCGAGAGCCGTACCTACCAAACACCTTGAGGCTGAACGGTAACGTTTGACCCATCACCCAAGGACCCAACCTCAGCTTTGCATCTGCAGGACCTCGAAGTTCCCAGGTCATAGCCATTGCTTGGACACAAGATGGTCATGCTGTGCACTGTGTAGTAGCTGGGTAACCGGAAATTACGATGATAGTGGCGCGGGGCAGAGGACCATCGTATTTATTTTGCAGGTGACCGCTGACCGGCTGAGCCATGCCGCGGACCGTGGCCCGACCTCCGCGGTTCACACCGCAGGAGTGGACTCTAGCAAATAACATCAAGTTCCACAATGCCGAGGCCAACTCCAACACAGCCGAGTCGCTCATGGCCGAGTGCAACCGGCTGCGCGATGAAATAGTCGTTCGCACCAAACAGTCACAGGTGGGCTAGTCGGCAAACCACACTCCTCGGTGACCAAAGTCATGCTAAAATGGGAATGCTTATGCAAGTATACAAGGACGCCGTGTACCTATGCATTTGAATTTTTACGTGTCATTGATCTGGTAGAAGCGTCGCCTTAGGGACATGCGCGTGTTTGGCTGACTATTAGATTTGTTCAGGACGAGGCGGACAAGCGGCTGGACCAGCGTGTGGAGCAGCTCGAGTACTGGAAGTCGGAGCTGGACGGGAAGCTGGCTGAGGTGAAGCAGCGCATCGACACGATGGACGTGACGCTGGTGCGCGTGATGAAGGCCGAGTGTGACCTGCAGGACCCGCTGCAGCGCGCCAAAGACTGTCTGGAGATGAGGTACGGCGACCCGCTGTTCTAGGACCCGGTCAGACCGACACACGACACACGAGAAGAGCTGGCTGGCAGTACCTGCTATATACTTTCTTAGTCTCAAAATTGTTTCATCCGTGCTGTTGTTAGTGAGTGACGCATAGGTCATGAACCTACCTGCGATACAATCATAGTCCCGATACGGCAATAAGTTTTTCCTGTGAGGTCCATCGGTAAAGTTACATCACCGACCGCTCAATGACCCCGCCCACCACATGTCTCTTCCTCGCCGGCCCGTGTTGGCCGCAGGGAGCGTCGTCTGGGCGTAGACCGCGTGCACGACGACCCCGAGCGGCAGCTCATCAAGGAGGTGGAGGTGATGGAGGGCGCGCTGGAGATGCTCTGCCGGTCCCGCGAGCAGGCCAAGGAGCAGGTCAGTCGAGCGAGGGGTTCCGGAGCTGGCGGAAAAGTCACACGAGTGGGAGATTGCGAGCCGGACTCATCACATGCTATTATTTTTCACAAAGAGTCGGATGCTAAAGAAAATGATTGAAAATCAAGCTTTCAGTGCATACGAGTCGCATACGAGTCGTATATGCTGAGATGCTGGGACCCAAGGTCCATTAGGTTCATGTACGAGCAGCATAGCCTTCTATAATTGAAACATCGTATGTTAGTGTTGATCCGTCGTGAGCAGCCAGTCTGTACCAGTCACACCGCACGTGCCGTGTCCGGCAGCTGCGGCGGCTGCGAAAGGCCAAGTACCAGCTGGAGCGGGACATTGAGCGCAAACAGGCGGCGCTCGACATCGACCGGAGCATGCGCGATCTGAGCCTGCAGTCGGCCGGCATGGAGCTGGTGGCCGGAGACGTCAACATCGACACAGAGTAAATACGGTGACCATACGGAGTGTCTCAGCAGGGACAGTTTGTCCTCCGGTCCTCTTACCATGGTCAGTTTGTAGTTCATGGCCCACGGACAGATTTCAGACCATGACATGTGCGTGCTTTTTATTGTGTCGGGGCCGGGGGTAAGGCAATGAACTGTGCCGGATTACAGGGAATTAGCTTTTTTCATTGTCGGGGCTGCTTGTAGACTGACTGGAGCATTTGCCAGTTGTTGATTTCCTGTGCTTCAGCAGCTGTCCTATGTCTGTGTCTCAGCGGCAGGGCTACCGGTTGTCTGTGTTTCAGCGGTCTGACGGTGGACTCGTGGCTGGAGAACGCGGCCGACCTGCTGGCCTTCGCCACCCGGGAGGTGGACATTGCGCGCACGCTGCAGTCCAGTCTGGAGGCCATGCTCAAACAGGCCGAGTGTGACGTACGCAACCAGGTGGAGAGGACCAACCGGGCGCTGGACACGCGCGTACAACAGACGCGCACCGCCAAACAGACGCTGGAGGACAAACTGTCCATGGTGAGCGGGCTAGCGGACAAACGGTCCATGGTAAGCGGGCTAGCGGACAAACGGCCCATGGTGAGCGGGCTAGCGGACAAACGGCCCATGGTGAGCGGGTTGAGTGAGCGGGACACAGAGCTGGCCCCATATGCCTGCTGCTGCCGGTAGTGGTGATCGGGACGGAGGCCGCTTACGGTGTCCACTGATCAGTTCCCTGGATGACGATAGGACGGCAGGGCCACGCTACCACCAATACTCCTGACCTGGGCTGTATCTCCGCGCCGTCCAGGTTCGTGAGCACATAGCCGCCGTGGAGCGCACCATTGGCGAGCTGGACCTGGCCGTGCGGAACCTGCGCACGCCACTGGCCAAGGCGCAGACGCGGCTGCGCGGCCGCACCGAGCGGCCCTGCCCAGAGCTGACCAACGACCGCGCCCAGCGACAGCTGGTGATCGAGGTCAAGGAGATCCAGACCAACGCCGACCGGCTGCGCAGAGAGCTGGCCTCGGCCCAGGCGCAGCTCAGGTGAGTCGCCGACCGACGCCGTCAAGGCAGATGAGCTATCGCGGCGGTGTATTACCGCTGTCGCTTCGCAACAAGGAGAAGCTTCGATGGGTTGCGTCAGTGTGCTTCAGTAACATAATCAACTTGCTTACGTACGATCAATAGAGTGCACTTATGTTCAAAGCAGCACATGAGTATCCCACTCCGGGTCAGATTTGCCCCGTACACGGCTCGCAGAGTGTGACTGACTGAGCCGGTCGGCCCTCGCAGGAACCTGGACCGGGAGCGGCTCATTCTGGAGGAGGACATTGACGTCAAGACCAACACGCTGCACATCTGCGAGGGCCAGTGTCAGGTGCACCGGCAGGCGGTCATCATCCAGCACTTCTAGTCGCCGTCCAGCACCGAAACCGACACCGAGACCGACAGCGACACCGACTCTGGGCGGCGAGTTCAGCAGTGGCCGAGCCCCCAACGCCATCGCACCGCGGCCTCGCTCAGACGCATGGACGGGTCAGGCAGGTTCGATATTGTTTTTCTCAGTTTTATCCCACATTGAGGTCAGCTCAAATTCACAATCCAACCCACACAAGGCGTTGTTGAGATAATTGTAGACATTAAACGGTCGCAAACAACTCGCGTCATGTAGCTCTTTTCCCTTGCCTTCTAGAGCGTTTTATTATTTCTTCGGTGAGTTTTATGGTTTCGAGTAGATTATGAAGTTGTGTAAACCGGTGCTGACCAGCGCATTTAGCGCGTTATGAACACTGCCAGTCCCCTGCCATCGGGCCCAGACAGGGTCGAGGATCTGCATTTTTGTCCGTGTTATCATGTGCAATGATGTGAAATTGGTTGAATGTCCACTGTCTAGTCCGCGACTTATAAAGCATGACCACAGCTGCATTTCGTTTACATTTAGATTAAAGCACCAAGTCCTCGGTGTGCAATAAACGCCGTTTCGGACGGCCTACACGCACAAGAGACAAATTGCTGTTTATTGTTCGCCTCGCGTTACATGCACATGTAGTAAATAATAAAATCAATCAGCATCCACGTCCTCACAGTCAGCTATGTGGAACTCTGGCCACCGAAGCAGCCCGGCCATAAAAAGGCGGATAACCCGCCGCGCGATAGGGATGTACTACTCCAATTCTCCCAACAATATACACTTCACAATTCAATATGCCCATATACAACAATTAACAACGCTTATGACTACCCGGAATCACATTTCGCGAATCAGCTCCCCATTGTAGCTCGCTGTCGCTCAGCGCCATTCAGTGATAGATCCCGACCAAGAGATGCATTGCATATGCCCTAGCGCGGCGGACCAGCCCCTTAGGAGTGTCGATCGTTCCACGGTACCCCAGGCGTCGAGTCAGAGATGGTTTGTTCAGCGGCTGAGGAGGGCGACACAGAATGGGAGACGATACGGTTAACAATATTAGGCCTATCTCGGCACATGGACATACGATCAATCCCATAGAGCGGCAGCATAGTCGAATCGTACCCGCATTCTGCTGCCAGCCGCACGGTATTCGGACTAGGATGAATCACTCGGCTAGGCAGTGTGACAGCCACACTGGAGCTCCCCGATTAAAGCCAGTACGTGGGTGCCGCCGCGCCCGCTCACCTCCAGCCGTCTGCGAATGGTCCACCGAGCGGCGCCGCCCGCCCGCCGCGCGCTCAGAAGTTGTCCGTCAGACTGAAGATGCCGCTGAGCACCTTGACCAGCTTGTCGCCCTTGTCGGAGGCCTTGGGCGGCCGCTGTTTGGCGGCCTCGCACTCTGCGCTGAGGACGGCCGTGGCGTTGGCGGCGGCGGCGGCGGCGCGCTCCTGCTGGCCGGGCGCCTGCACCGAGTAGCGGCGCTCCATCTCACCGCGCACCGAGTGGCGCTGCTCGCGGCGCTGCTGGCGCGACCACTGCCAGTCGTCGGCGGCCGCGGCGCTGAGGTCGGCGGCCGCCGGCTGCTGGAGACGACTGCGCACGCTCTCCGACCGCTCACACCGCGCCTGAGAGTGCCTGCAGACAGAGCGCAGAGCCCGCCGTCAACCATCAGCGGCCACGGGCTGCGACAGAGCAGATGATTCCAGGGTGAGCGCCAGCGTTGATTCAGGCTCAGCTGCCTGGTAGTAGCTAAAGCTGACTTTGACTCTGACTCTGACGCATGACTATTTCAACAAGCAGCCAAGACCTCCCGTGGGACATGTCACCATTATCAGGTCTCGCAGTGTCCGGTGTTCAGCGTTCGCTGCGTCCGTACCTGAATGCCTCCTGGGCCAGTGCCTCATTGCGTGTGACTGAGACGCGGCGGCCGGCGGGCGAGGTGGCCGCCTCCTGGCCCGGCTGGAAGCTCAGGGAGCGCGGCACCTCGCCCTGCCGACCGCCCAGCTCCGAGGTGTGGCTCAGGGAGCGCGGCAGCTCGGCGGGCCGCCGGCCGGGGCTGTAGCCGGCCTGGCGGCGGCTCGGCTGCGCCGCCCAGCCGTCCGCCACCGGCACCGGCACCGGCACGGCGCCCGTGCTGCACGGAATCGACGGGATGTTGCGCACGGACGGCGTGAGGCCGCGCGGCGGCAGCTCGGGCGGCGGCGGCGACGGCGCGCGCGGCCGGCCGCCGACCGACGGGCTGCCCGAGCGCCCCGGCCGGCCGGGCCGGCCCGGGATCGGCAGCGCCCCACTGGTGGCGTACGGCGGGGCCGGCGCCGGCTCCGTCGGCGGCCCGTCCAGGCCGCGCGGGCCGCTGTCGGGCCGGGTCGCCGACTCCAGCGGCAGGCTGAACGGCCCGCTGGCCGGCGCCGGCTGCCGGGGTGGGCCGCCAGCCGGCTCCAGCGACATCTGAGACAGCGAGAGCACCGAGCTGAGGCTGTCCTGGGCGTCCGCCAGCAGGCCGGGCGGCGGCGACGGCAGCTGCACCGGTCCGGCGGCCGACGGCGCGGCACCCACCACCTGCCGACCGAGGGGGCGTCAGCGCACGGCCGGGACGGACAGCGGCCGCCGGCACCACATTCACCGACCATCGCACCAGCACGGGACGGGACTGTCAGCAGCACTGACCTGGGGTGTCAGCGGCGTGGGCAGGCCGTCCAGCCCGGAGGAGGGCGAGTCCAGCTGCGCCGGCCGGCGCGCGGGCCGCAGCGTGAGCGGGTTCTCCGCCAGACACTCGTCCACGCTGTTCGTCACGCTCTCCTGTGGGGCAGACGTGTCACGGGTGAGTCAGTGCCTCCCAACACAGAGTCCGTCCCTCCCCACACAAACACCGGCTGATTCAGCGCCAGGTGGGGCGGTCGGCGTATTTACAAACACCGCGCGTACAATACTGCGCCGCGGTCGGCCGCGGGGAGGGAACGCTCCGCAATCGGTCATCCGCCGCGCGCAGCTGGCTCACCTGGGACACCGCTAACAGCGCAGCTCAAACGCGCAACGCAACGGAGCGATCGTAGGCGTAGAACGGGATGAATTAGACTGTGTGATTGGTTTGGTTTAAAATCAATGTTACTGTTGCTAGACCGCAGATTGTGTTTCGAAATTGCATCATAGATTACCGAAATTAAAATTAAGCCAAAACGAAAGGGAAAAGATTGAGCCAACTATGTACATCCAACCAGCATATCTTCGGGAACAACGTTAAAATGCTCAAAACCCGAACATCATGTCAAGGCCTCTCAGGACACCGTCTTTGGTTTGAGTGGAGCTGGATATCCATTGTCCCCTGGCCCGACCGTGGTCAGTGTCGCCTGTCCTTGACCAGTGACCACGAGTGACCATTGATAGGAGGTGCGTTTGAGGCGGCTATCGTCCACACGCGCACAAAACACACACAGACCTGGGGGAGGGAGGGGTCGATGTGCGAGTCTGGCCCCACGGCCGCCCAGATAGCCGACACAGCGTCCGGCGGGGGCAGAGGAACGAACCGAGGCCGGCCCGGGGGCGGTGCTGAGCTGACCACGAGGCCCGGGCTGGCGGTGAGTGGGGCTGCCTGGCCAGGTACGAGGAGAGGTATTGGCTGATGTGTGACCGCAACATTAGCAACCTTCTCGTGTCAGTTGCGCACGGCCGAATGTGTAAACAAACCACAGAAAAACGGCGAATGTAGTCGGCTGTCGCTATTTAGTGTTCTAGAGCAGAATTCAGCGCTAGCGAAGAAGTGAACACACTAAATTACTGATTATTCTACAAAGTCGCGAAACCCAATAGTGGCGAGGAAGGGGAATGCGACTTGGAGTTTGTCCTCATGCCGTAGCTATAGTTCGTTTTTTTTTTTCAAAAGGACTCTGGCTCCAAGTACGTTTTTCGAAAAAGCACGCCTTTTAGCGAGCAAAACGAGCAAAAACTGAACCTGAGAAATTCGAACGTCGCCTTATTTTAACATGTGAAGTATTCCCAATAATTTCCATACGTGCATTTTGGAACCAGATATGAGAACAGTGGTGACGTCATGCTGTCGAACTTGTATTGCAATGTAACGAATAACTATCATGGACGAAACCGCTTACTCGATTATAACCTCGGCCCCCAATTCGTTTCCCCCAAATTCGTCGAAACTTTGTCCCATCGTACGGACATTGGGTGCCTGCTGCCACCAGTGACGTCATCATGGTATGCTAATTTTTCAAGACACAATTTCCGGGTACTTACCGTGCAAAATTTGAAATCGAATATTTTTTGGGTAAGAAATTCTTGGCCAGACGCTGAAGCTGCCAAAACTCACGTGAGAGCTTCGATAAGGAACTAGGAGCCAGCGCCCTTTTGAAAAAAAAAAAACGAACTATAGTAGCCAATTTTCTAACCCGGGGCAAAGATTTAGGGATAAAGTGGAGCAAAAGCACGCCAACCTTTTTGGATGACTGCGTTTCACATATCAAGCATGTCCGGACACACTAGTGGGAGATATAGTGAGTGTGATTTCGATCGATGTGTGTTTTACACTTTGATAAGATGAGACCATAGATATTCTGAGGTGTGTCAGGTCCTTTTGGTAAGCATCGCTCGTGCTGGCAGGTTTTTACCTCGCTGTGCTGCGATAGCGGCCCGCGTGACCGACTGCAGGGCCGCGGGAGGCGGTAACTCCGAGGTTGCAGCTCCGGGCGGCAGTACCTAGGGTGAAGGTAACTCCGGGCGCCGCCGGGGGAGGGCCGGCACTCACCGAGAAGCTGCTCATGTCGTCGCTGAGCTGCTGCTCTAAGGAGGGGAGGGGAGGCCGGCACTCACCGAGAAGCTACTCATATTGTCGCTGAGCTGCTGCTCTAAGGAGGGGGAGGGGAGGCCGGCACTCACCGAGAAGCTGCTCATGTCGTCGCTGAGCTGCTGCTCCTCGGCCAGAAGCCGCGCCTGCCGCTCCTGCAGCGACGACAGCGTCTCCGTGTTGGACTCCATTACTCGCAGCGCCTGCAGACCGGGAGAAGGGTCAGACGGGTCGCGTGGGGTCACGGGTCACGCAAGTCATCGATCAGGTGGGCCGCGAGTGGGACAAGCAGGTCCTGGAGTCCCGGTGTTACGTTTTCTAACATAAAGGACATCCACAATATGTTTGCGGTACCATGCAGTACCGGGGCATGTGAGTCATGCAGCAACAGCTTTGTGCCACGGCGGCCAGCGCACTGTCACGGGTTCCGGTCGCAGTGGAGATATCATCCGCACTCGCAGGCTAGTGCAAACTACCCGCTGCAACGTCCCTTGCGCAACAAAAAACAACGAAAAAGTGAGGCCTTCTGTTTCGTGGTGAGTCAGTCAAGGTACTCTGGCGGGCTTGAAACGGGCGCGTCGTCGAAAATCATTACCGAATACCGAGTATTATCATCGGCCAGGGCAATGACCTTCCGAAGGCTTTTGCTCTTTGGGCAGCATGTTTACCGTTCACTCTGAAATCCTCAACCTCTATTGACTTTTTGAAGCTTTGACAAGATGTAGTTGCTCTATTGCGCAGTATCTGTATCAGGTGACGCCGTAAGTGCACAAAGCCGCGATATGTGCCGGGTCATCTGGAGCGGGTCGGTGACATGTTGCGCCTGGGTGGACGTCCCCGACGGAGTAGTGACGGTGAGTCACCGCCGGGGGCCTCTATCTGCAGCTACGCACCGGCCACCCCTCCCCTCCCTCGGGCGCACTCTAACCAGCGGCGGCGTCCGACCTATTACCGCACGGCGCACTTAGTCATACTACTCAGCCCGGCGTGCAGACGGCCGGCACAGGTGGGCAGGCCGGCGCCGAGGTAACGGCTCGGCCTCTGACCTCGACCTCACTACCGACGTACGAATGGAATCTGCACCTGCTTTGGAAATCAACTAGCCGAGTCTAGCGCTTTAAACAGGCCGGGTGCTCAGCGCGTGATCAGCGGTCCGTAACACAGAAGACACGCCCATCAGCATTGGATAGCGGCGTTCAACGGAAGATGTTTTCCTAAAATGCAGTTATTCATAAAATTGCATCGGCGTAAATCACAAAGATTTGATAAGCGCTCGGAGTTTGCAGTGTCCTGCTGGCAGCTCCGGATCACGGCGCCGGCACCCGGCGCCGACTGGTGTTGCCGAGCGGATGTAAATCGCCCTCAGAGCCGCGACAGAGCCGAACAAACGACACCAGCTGCGCATCCGGAGCTCACTATCGCGGCTGGCACAGGGCGGCCTCATGACAATGAGTAAAAACCCACCGGAAAACGGAGACCGAGCAGACGTTATATCGACGTTCTTAAATGCATATATGATTCAGCAGAGCTAAGATGTTGAAACTGGTTAAAAAAAGAAAGACCAGAAGCACAACCTAACAGGCATAAAAAACGGAAGCAAATGTACTCCAGCACCTCCGCAAACGGATCCCCCTCCCCCCCCCCCCCCCCAACGCACACATACACACTGACCTGACAGCGGTACTGGCCGCTCTCCCAGTGGTACCCCTCCCTGTACCCCCACCACTGACCTGACAGCGGTACTGTCCGCTCTCCCAGTGCGCCGCCGGCGGCAGCACCTCTCCGGACATGTACCGCTCGTACTCCTCGGCCGTTAGACCCAGAGAGTCGGCGCCCATCGACTCGATGAACGACACGGCGCAGCACTGACGGCGCAAAGGGACATTAACGTCAGCATTAACACGCGGACATACATCAACACACATTTATCAAGGCATAAACATCACTCAATGACAACGAACACAGACAGTGAAGCGGACAATCCGATGGATCTATCGCTGTAAATTGGCCTCAAAACGGCATCATTCAACGCTCAACACTGTCGTCAGCCTGACACATTAGCCAGCAGCAGCAGCCGGACCATGAACAGTGAACACCCTACCCCACCGATACTGTGTGCCGTCGCGGGCTCTCACCAGGTTGGTGAAGTCGTATCCCTGCTGTCCGGACATGATGCGCTGCTGGCTGCTGAAGCGCGTCACGTACTGCACGTTGCTCTGCAGCCGCGGCGGGTTGGCGCGCAGCACCACAAATATGAGCGCCGGCAGCAGGTCGTCGGCGCTGGGCGGCTCGCCCTGGCGGCCCACGCACAGCATCTCCAGCAGGTGACTCACGCAGGCCGACACACACGTCAGCTTGTCCTGCGGCGTACGCTTGCTGTCCATCTCGATAATGTCTGCGGAGGGGTGAGACGGCGCCGTGGTTAGGTGTTTTGCATAGCTCACACGACAGTGTTACAGTCCAGAGTACAATGCCAAACCTACCCGACTGTGCAAAATAAGACAAGCTTGCCTTCCAGCACCGTCCACACAGGCCATCACTCTATAGTACACCGTATATACGGTATATCAGTGCCATATAACGGTACCATTAGACACCCACCGTGCCCCGTACGTCACCCGTTAGCGCCAGCGTCGCGCGTCTCACCTGTGATGGCCCGCTCGACCAGCTCTGTGACGGCCGGGTTGGTCTCGTCGATGTTGAGCTCCAGCAGCTCGACCCCCACCCAGTAGAGGGATCGGATCCGCTTCTGGACGGCCAGGTCGGCCTCCTCGAGCTCCTGCGACAGCGGCGTGAAGAGCACCCGGTAGAGCCGGGTGGTCAGGTAGCGCTCGGCCAGGTCCTCCAGCTCCGAGCGACGCTCCGGGGAGACGCCTGCAGGACAGAGTCGAGACCTCCGTCAGCTGCTAGCGCACACAACTATGTATGTACACACACGGCGCCCGGCCGGCCTCCAGACATCCTGGTCGGCCGTCGGCGTACAAACACGACACGAGACAGAACAGCACACAGCAGGACGTGTTAGGAAAAACAACGCTGTTACTGCGATAGGTATTAGGTATCCCGCATCGAGACGAGAGGTGCAAGCATTGAGGGCACTGCTATTCAGCCTTAACAAATGGCCCATGATTATCATCGTACGGTGATACGTCCGACAAAAGCAGCGCTCTTAGTTTTAAATACGTGAGGTGTGAATCCAGGATACTCACCGTAGTAGGCCGAGTGCGAGTGCACCCTGTCGTGGAAGGTGTTATAGAAGTGCTGAACGATCTCAGACATTTCGTCCGAGGAGGCGGAGTCGGCGGCGCTGATACAGCTCTCCATACTCGTCTGTGGACAGAGCCAAGCTACTAATTAGGGCGCGGACAACCATCATGCACGAGGAATGGAAAAAAATATAGGTACCTCATAAATCATCAACTACCATACCCGAACCTTCAACACACCAACGGAAATTCCGTTTCCAGAAATGGTCAAAAGACTGGCTTTTTACAAGACAACTACAAACACCTTAAAGGTAGTGTGCCACCTTTGAAAGATTTCCCATTTTATTTTTCCTAGGATAAGAAGCTTCTGTTTTTACCTAATATCGCAAAAAAAAATCAAAAATGGGCCTGGAATAGTGCCTTTTTCGCCTAAAAGTTTATCGGTTTTTAGATATGTATAACAACTGTAGTGGGCTCACCTGCAAACAGGCGTCGGGCAACAATCGCGAATGCGGCGCACTTGTGACAATAAGCAAAGGTCATTATAGTGTTACGACCATGCGACGTACGGGAATGAGTTATCAGCTGTCTAATCGTAGACAACACAATGTCGAGCCTTAAACTGTAAGCCCGTATTGGTACTGTTTCTTTTATTTGGCTGTCGAACATTATTTATGGTTTGAAATATGATTTTATGTAAAATAATTGATATGAAAAAGCCGTCTTATAAGTTATGACCCCATTTCACCACACGCAAGTGGCAGAAATGACAATGATCAGCTGACGCATTTTTATTGGCCGAAGTCAGAGCGCGCGGCCCGACGCACCACGCGTATTTGGAAATTCCGACCTCGACGAGCATCAGAAGCCACCTAACAGGCGTGTTCGAAACCGCAGGAGATGATGATGAACGGGTTTATCGAAACTTGATTGGATGAGCATATCGGTAATAGCGATTTCAGTGTGTGCATTTATTGTTCATAGTGGTGTGAAATGTGGTTGGGGTACGACCGACAACCCGTCGGGGCGAATTTCGCACTGGGGTACTCAAAATTTGAAGAATTTAAGACGTTTCCATGAGTTTTGAAGGTATGGATAAGTTCTAAAAATCCGGTTCTCCTTATCTGGGCCATTAACTCCATACGGTCCAAGAAAGCTGGCACACTACCTTTAAATATTCACAAATAGCTGCTATCAAGCATCAACACGTCATCGCCTCATTCGGTCAATACCATTTAACGCCCGTTAACGTTGCGTTCACGTTGTGTACTAGTGCAGTCATAATGCACATGTTTCCTCACATTGCCAATTGCCATGGAGAAGTGCTGACAAACACACAAACAGACAGACAGACAGACAGACAGACAGATAGACAGACAGACACACAAACACAAAAACAGACAGACAGACAGACAGACAGACAGTTGCTCGCCGACCGTCTGCTCTGACCTGCATCTGTCGTCGCACGTCCTCGGCGGCCGGTTTGGACAGGCCGGATAGGAACTCCGTGAGCACCTTGTGGATCTGGATCGACTCCTGGCTGAGGTTCGACGTCCGCGGCAGCTGCTGGCCAGAGTCGGGCGGCTTGGCGTCTGCGGAACAGACGAAACAAATCACAATTTGACTCTCGACGGGGGAGGAGAAGAGATGCAGCTATGCATTAGTCGAGAAGTATAATCGGGCCCGAAACTGCTTAAAACAACAAGATAAATGGTCATGAAGACAATACCAGCAACAGCCTATCGCAACTCCCGCCCATCTTCCCACCTCCCTCCCCCCCCCCCCCCACCCACACACAAGCACCCGCGCGGGACCTCCATCTCCGTGTCGGTATCAGCCCACTAGACACGGACGGACGGACGGACCGGCGACCCCGCGTCGCCCCATCCGCCGCCGTCCACCACGTGCCGGCGCGGGGACGGCCCGCGCCGGTACCGAGTACTCACGGGAGCGGCCGGGCCGCCGGAGCCGGAGCCGGCGCCGCTCCCGGCCCCGCTCCGAGCCGGAGCTGGCCAGAGAAAACAGCGGCAGCAGCAGACACATGAACAGCGCCAGCATCTCGGCGGCAGAGACCACCGGAGAGAGATAACTCCAGACGGGACTGGGCGAGCAGATCAACTGCGGACCGCGCCGAGCCCAACTGCAGACTGGACTACCGAGCAGAGCTCACTGCAGACTGGACTACCGAGCAGAGCTCACCGCAGACCGGAACACCGAGAGGAGCTCACTGCAGCCTGGACCACCGAGCAGACCCAACTGCAGTCCGGGCCGAGAGAGCCGACGCAACTGACCACAGTGCGGTCGCCGCCGCGCCTCGTGGTTCGCAGTCCCCTCCCGCCCCTCCCCACAAGTGACGGGTGGGGAGGGGCGGCTGGTGTCAGTCGTCGCCGCCGACAGCTGGTGCCGCCGACGGCCCATCGCCGACGGGTCGTCTGCGGCCGGTGCGTGGCGCGGCGCGGCCGCTGACTAACCGGAGGCCGACCACAGGTGCTGGTATACCGCACACAGGGGACTCTGACCGCGACCAGTGACTCACAGTGACCGGCACGGGACCGGCCGTGACCCAGGGAACAACGGGTGACGGAGCAGACCCCCAGTAACAACGGAACACGAGGCAGCAGTGCACCTGGTCACACCCGGTAGGGAAAGAAACGATCCTCTGCAACAGAAGCTGCTGCATTCGAGATCCGAGGAAAAACCGAGGACGTCTCACAATAACACGCATGGGTGGCCTGGAGTTTCTCATTGACCACTACGCATCAGGCGGCATCATACCTGTTCAGAACGACAGCCGACACCTCGGAGCTACCTTAGAAGGAGAAGCCAAGTCCCAAAACATTTGAAAAGCGTTGGTACTTATCAAGACGCAGTCAGACATCGACGAAGGTCTGCGAAATGTGACTAATTGGATGTAAATTTAGATTGGAAATGGTTCCAAAACAACCAAACATGCAACATGCATAAAAGAAGGGAGGGGTGGAGTCAAACAAGGCTTCGACTGAGGCAAGATCCCTTATTTATAAGAAAGTGCACGGGAGTACCAGAATAATGTGGATATACCAACAATGAAAATGGACATCGTTCCCCTACTACCTACAATCTTAGGCTGATCACTCCTTTCATAAAGCTACCCAAAAGGTGAAATATATGTATGTGCTACTTATTGCGCCAAAACTTCAGCTGGACGAGGCTGCAACTGACTTCAAGGTCGTTCGGTGACATTTTGAGACCTAGAGCTGCATTTCTCTGTGACGTTCCACGCGACAGGAGACCGCGTGGCACGCTGAGTTGCGGCGATGACTGATTGCTGAGGTTAGCACGCGCAGCGGAGGACACATTGCGAAACGTCCCGGACACTTCCGACATTGGTCTGACAGGTCAGGGGACACGTGCGGCGCCCACGCCCGCCCAGCCGGCGGCTCACTCACACTTGAGGTAGAGGCAGAAGGGCGGCTGGAGGCAGGTGACCACCAGGTCTCGGATACCGCCCAGTTCCGGGGTGGCCAGACAGCGGCGGAGCTCGGTCACCGGGGAGGGCACACCGCCGGCCGCCCCGGGAACCGGTGGGCCGCCGTTGGACGGGTCAGGAGTGGGCGGGTCAGGAGCGGTCGGCGCAGGAGCAGCCGGATCAGGAGTGGGCGGGTCAGGAGCGGTCGGTGCAGGAGCAGCCGGACCAGGAGCGGTCGGAGCAGGAGCAGCCGGTTCGTGAGCAGTCCGCCCCAGCGTGGGTGGTTCAGGAGTAGTATGTCGCTCACGAGCAGTTGGTTCAGATGAGGTTGGTTCAGGAACAGACCTGCCACGGCAGATACCGGGATGCAAGGATCAGTGCACCATCAGACAGTATCAGGATCAGGTCAGTCTGGTGATCGTGAACAAATGAGACGGTTGAATACAAACTATAAGTTAGCACGTGCCGTCTCAGTCTTATCGAAACTAAGTAGTATCTAATCATTTACATTTGATTTTTACCGAATAAAGGACATACGAGAAGATTACAATACTTGTAATAGACCATTACATCGCGTTTTTCAAGTTCAGGGCACGCCTGCGACGGTTCGAGACATCTTCTCTGCCAGTCATCCCGAAAAGCATCGGTCGAACGCTTTGCCTACACTCCAGGTCGGCAATCGAGATAACACGAGATGAGACCCGTCCTCGAAAGCTATCTATTCATGGCCAAGGTATACATACAAGGTAGGTGTGTTCACTATCTGTAAAATACATGGAGGATGTAACAGCCCCTCCAGATAAATTCATTTTCCGAAATACAAAAGTCGATACAATCATTCTTCTCGTTACGTTACAGCTGCAGGAAAACACAAATAAATAAGCAAATTGTAAAACGCATATGGTAGCCAGACTATAAAAAAACGCAGCGACAGAAAGCACCCAGGACTAACTCAATATATTCGCGGGGCAGACGCGGCTAAAATGTGCCAGGATAAGAAGGTTAATAATTCGGGTAGGGGCTGACATCCCGGGTGTCTCACCTGGCGGCCAGTGCTGGCGGCGGCTCGGGGTCGGAACAGAACTCGGCCAGAGCTGGCGGCGGTTCGGAGCAGGACCAGGACTCGCAGCGGAGGGCGGTACAGGAGCCGGGCGACACCGGGACAGAGGGCCCAGGAGGAGACACCGCCTCCGGCGCCGGACAGGCATCCACAGGCCAGGATTCGGCGTCATCCAAGGCACCGTCTGCGGCAGGCGATAGGTGTGTGGTATGAAGACAGGTGGTTAGGAATCACAATACAAACGTACTTCACACGTAACCCATGTTTTGTTTGTTATGATTGCATCCAATGGTTATTCACGTATAGAAAAATCAGAGTATTGTTAAATAAGAGATAGTATGTGAAAAAGATCGTGAAAATTGATCGGTCTTTTGAGAGCACTCCTAGCTGGAATCCATGCAAAGCTACATCGCGCATCTAGAACTCTCTAAGGATCGACAGTTGTCATCCACCGCCGATTGTCAAAATGAAGACGCATCCCGGCTCATGTAATTTGAGTCACGACGCCTCCGCCACAGTCACGCAGCCTGCGCGTCAGCTGGTCAGGTCGGGTGACTATCGCGGTGTCGGCTGACAGCTGACTATCCCTGCCTGCTGCCGACTGAACGTCAGGTGGTCAGATCAGGTGACTATCACGGTGTCGTCTGACTATCCCTGCCTGCTGCCGACTGGACCAATCAGCGTAATCGGACACTGGTTTGGACGACACTGCGTCGCAGACACTCTGTGCTACTGCGGAGGGACATAGGTGTGCGCCACACTGCCGCTGCGTGCTACTGAGTCACTGACTACGGCTGACGACAGGCAGAGTCAGCCGACAGATCAGACTCGCCTAATTGGACGACTCTACCAGCATAAAAAACTTGGGACAGGCACGGGCCTGCGGGCTTGACCTATCATACCCATGACAGATGTGATCCGCGATGGCCAAAACCATGCTGTCATTTTTTGTTTGTTAATGCCATCAATTCCACGAAGAAGTGCTTCAGACGATGTTGACAGCAGGTACCTACCGCTCACAGTTCACACTTCAGCCTTGCCCAACACATACAGAAAAAACAGCAACAGCACGGGTGGAGTGGTAATTGGTTATCTATTGACATTTCAGCGGCGTGGTAAGACGAACTGTTCCCCTTGCATCTCCAAATATCACACCTTGTCTAAATATATGTACATCTTGCCGGTTGACTCTGAGCTGGTGGTCACAGCCCTAAAAAAAATTACGGAGATTCCAAGTTCTACAGAGAAAGTTCAACAGAGATTGTAGATTCCAGCCAGAATCTTTGAACTCCATCTGCATCTCTTTGAACTTCGGTGGCTATTTTCTAGTGATCCTGGCAATGTGTTCCTGTTTCACCGATCATCAACGACATTTGCGCATTCAAATGGAAAACCAGCAAGGGTCCAATCTCGTTTATATGGCACGTTACAAAAGCTCGTGACTCATGGCTGACGGGCTTTGGCAGAGTTAGGCACTAAGAAGATGAACTATATTTGGGCTGCTTAATGCGCACATTATGTGCACTACGACTAGGTTAGAGACGAAATTCGGAGACAAGGCGGCGTTTAACGGAGTTGGCAATTAGCTATCGAATGCGTTTTGCCCGCTCTACGTCGCCCAATCGCCGGGGCATGATGTTATCCACAAATGTTGAAAAGAACTTTGAACCACTCTCAGCATATTCAACCCAAATACACAAGCTTAAATTTCAATCTATGGTGATCTTCTCTCGAATGGAACTAAATGTAGAAGCAAGCCCATTGAGGGATATTTTTTGGCTTTTGGAAACTGAATATCGATTAACTGCGATGAATTTCAGAGAGCTCCGCGCTCCTGGGGCAAGTGGGTGCATTAGAAAAGTTATCTTGGGCGGGTGTCTGGTGTCGCATCTGGAGCTGGCCCGGCGTGGCGAACGGCGCTCAAACCAAAAGGAGCTTACACTGACATTATCGCTCAAATACGTTGACATCACGGTCATCACGGAGCATCTAAACTTCATTGCCCGACCAGGTGCGGTGGACAACTGACACGGTGGACGACTGGACTAGAGTTGCAAAGTTTTCCCAATGGGCTGCTACCGGCACCGCCCCGCCCCACAAAAATTTTCTGGGATACCGGCATGCTACCACGCCCCAAGCAAAAAAACCGCCAAATTACCGGCATACCGGTAATTTGGCGGTAATTTTAATACGGCATATGGAACTTTTACCACAAAATGTATTTTGCAGTGGCTAAGATTGCTGTTATTACAATTCAATAGCCTCTTAGTGTCCAAAGTTTGAATCATATGCTGATAATTTTTTTGTGTGCAAAATCAAAAATACCGGCATGCTACCGGCAAGACATGCCAGATACCACGAAAAAACCTGCGGTAGTGAAAAATTACCGGCGTGCCGGTAGTGCGGTAGGGAAATTTTGCAACTCTAGACTGGACAGGGACACCTATCAGCTGGGAGCCGGGTATTGCAGCGGATCGGCCCAGTATCCCCACCGTACTGGCCATCCCCACCGTACCGGCCGCAGCCCAACAGAGGACGGTCCGGACTTCAGCGGGCCAAACTGCACAGCTGGGCGCCGCCTGGTGTGCGATGACGGAGTAAATACCCCAACGCGCGTACTGCCCTGCCCGTGCCCCTTAGATCCACTTCTTCTCTCTGAGCAGTATCTACGCACGCCCAACGGTTCTACAGCGCGACGAGGCCACGCAGTGACTGCCTTAATCGCCTGATGACACCACTTTTTCAGAAAGAAATGCTACGACCCGGACTGTTGACCAGAGCCGAAAAGAGCAGCCGACCACTGACCAGTAACAGCTCGACTTAGGAGTCGAGTTGCGTGGGAAGCGAGAGCGATATGTGAAACATGACCAATGGGCCTGTGAACACTGGACATGTCTTTTATTGTCTTAACAACCCCTGCGAAAAAAAGCAGACCAATACAAGCAAAAAGATTACTTCATTTTGACCTACCTGAGGAAGTGTGTTTCATTTTCTTCTTGAAGAATCCCATTTTCAGTGACTTCTTTTTCTTCTCCTCAAAGCCACTGAAGCCTTGACCAACTGACATAGTGGGCGTAGGGTCAGCAGTAGAGGTGACTGGCAAAGTCGGCTTGCTGGCATAACTTGCAGCTCTGCAAATCCAAATAAAGTGTGAGCAAGTGAATAAGGCATGCATATTGTACATCTATGGTACAAAATTGTCATGATTCATCATGAATTGCATTTCAATGATAATGCATCATCTATAATTATGTTAATCAATGATTATGCATCTGGAAAGTCAACTAGTGTGGTTAGTGTCCAGTGGAATGTCCCAAATAAATTGTCTGAGGTGGAATGGCATAACTGCTGAAGACATCATCTGACACCTACCCATTATAGGTTGCATTGGAAGGTTGGTGAGCAGATCTTGACTGTATTAGTTCCTTGTAACACTTGGAGCAGAACCCGCCCCATTGCGGGTTTCCAAAGAAACCACAAAGGTTCTTGCAGAACAGGTCATTCCGCTGGATGTGAAGTTTTGGTCGGGACATGGTGGCTTAGCCTGTGAAGAAAAGCATTAATAAATATGACTCAAAACCAGGTGATTCAACACTACAATAAACAATAGATGCACAAAAGCAGCCTAATATTCTCATTTTTCACTATTTAATGCTGTTCTAATAATTTATTGAGTATGATTTTATTGAAATGGATGACTACAGCCTACAGGCACATGTGCCCACTAAGGCTAAGCAAAGCTTATTCCTTGGCACCAAAGACACATCACCTAGCCACACAGCTCCACAGTTCACTGGTGATTGTTCAGCTGTAGGTCCAGCATACCAAACATAGATGGTGACTCATCAGTCATGATAATGTCAGTGACTGCCAGCTCAAGCTAGCTCCAAACATCCTCCCTTCCTCAAATTGAAATTTGCCAGGCCGACAGACAGGACACTGACAGTTTCTGTCACAGACAAAGCAGGTCACTTCAACTTGGACTCTTGTCATGCTGCCTCATTTCTTATAGCTCAAGCTCAAGCAAGGCTCAAGCTTACCTTTCAAAGAAAAATGAAACATGTGCTGGTAGTTGGTACCCTAATTCAACTTGAACTAGTTGAGGTAAAGGTAATACAAAGACATTCAGAATCGGAAGAGACTAATCAAGCCCGCACACTCCGTCTCCTCCCACTTTGATTTCTGTCTCCCACAACACACGGTATATTCGGTATATTGATATAGAGAACTCCACAACACAGCCACCACAACACAACAACAAGCTACACACACAAACAATTCAGCGACGGTTTTGAGACAATTCCTGGCGCACAATATGCTATATTTTATTTTGTTTTCGTCTATAATATGACGTCAAAAAAACTTAGAATTGTTTTTTACCAGTGAGATCTCAAAGGACAGAAATTGTTTTTTAATACAAAAATCAGCCTTCAATTTTCAAATATTGAAATTCGTTTGAATCAAGGCTTTCTTGCACCGAACTCCGATCGATTGAAAAGTTTTCTTCACACGGCGTCAAACATATGTGAGATTTTATGACATCATAAAATTATTGCTCTTGAATTTGTTTCTGAATATGGGCGGATTATTGTTCACAAATCACTGCCACCTTGGGGTGTGGAAAAAGATAATTTATTGGATTTATTGGGTCCCCCAGGTTCAAGGTTGAGTGTTACTTTGTACAGGACAAGATTCTTGGTACAGGAATCAATTTCAATTTGGTATATTGATATCGTTGATAAAATTGTTACCGTACTATGCATGTTACTTAACTCCCAAAGCTCTTTTCCAGCCACTAATAAGACTGAATTTCAAACTGGTGCCTGTATTATCAACTTACTGAGTGTGAACAAGGGCTTGATTTGTCCAATAAATCAAGGTATGTAAGTCAAAATACAAGGTAGGCATGGAATATGGATAGCTCAATCAAACGCAAAACTCTAAACCATAGGTAGTGCCTTTTTACTTAATGGTTTTTCCATATTTTGTATCAATGAGTATCAGGAATAATTACTTGAAACTTCATGCAAGAAAAAATTCAAAGAAAATATTGATTTCAGTGAATGCTTCATAAAAGCCTTGTTGAAGTTAGAATATTTTTGTTTAGCAGTTTTTCATGTGTAATGTTGCACTGCTTTTTTCTGCCTATTATAGCTTATAGGAGTGACTTAATTGCATGTCAGCCTTTCATTGGTAAACAGTGTGCCTTATCAGATGGTTGCTAATGAGATGCTGAAAAGCATCAGCAAGCTGGCAGCATCCCAATGCACAATGGCTTCCCACCTACCGACCAGCACTGGCTGCTGGGATTTGTATATGGCAGGTTTAGTGCAGGGTTTTAAAAGCTGTGGAGTGTGAGCTGAGACAGTGCTTGAGAGTTTGTATGGTGCGGTGTGGGTTGAAAAGGTGCAGACTGCAGTTTGGTGTAGAATTCTGGCATTTTTGTGTTTCATCTAAATCATTGATTCTGTTTCCTTGTTTCAGCATACAGTGAAACATGGCCCGTGAATATGATCACCTTTTCAAACTTCTCATCATTGGCGACAGTGGTAAGGATTGGTCAGGGTGAAACAGCTTGGCCTAATCTCCATAAGGCCTGCTACATCAAATAATTCATACACTCTCAGTTCTTAAGTTAGTGAGTTCTATGACTACATGTTCAAAAAGTGTTTTTACATCCCAAAAGCAGCTCTTGGATGTAATCGTAGTTCTAAACCATGGGAGATGATTGAATGTGTCATCCACAAGAGTCAGCACTGCTGCATTTGCTCCCTTGTTGCTCAAAATTCGTTTTACTGGTAACACACACTTATTAAGCTAGAGATACACCATTGTTGTATAGGTAGTCTTCAAGCTCTCTGGAACTTGTTCACAGGTGTCGGCAAAAGCTCCCTGCTTGTACGTTTCGCGGAAAACATGTTCTCGGGCAACTACATCACGACCATTGGGGTGGATTTCAAGATACGGACGATGAACATCGACGGCCAAAAAGTGAAACTGCAAATCTGGGATACTGCTGGCCAGGAGCGGTTCAGAACAATCACATCCACGTGAGTAATACAGTCACTCCATGTGGCATCCGTACGGAATTAAGCTCCCGCCCTTGTACGTGATTTTGTTTGCGATCAGTTGAGATAAACGTCTCCTTTTTCGGATTATTGACGCCGGCAATAGAAGCTGTTTGGGCTGTAACGTTTCGCTCTGTATTTAACAGCCTCCCTGAGACCTCACTCCATCTCCGCACCCTCAGGTACTACAGGGGCACTCACGGCGTCATAGTGGTCTACGACGTCACTAACGGTGACTCGTTCGGCAACGTCAAACGGTGGCTGCACGAGATCCAGCAGAACTGCGACGTCGTCGACCGAATACTCGGTGAGCCCGTGGGGCCAGCAATGAGCCAAGCAGGCTGATTGGGCGACGCTGCTTTACACTGGACGTGGACGCTGCCTTACACTGGACATAACACGCTTTAGGTGACGTGCATGGTGATTGTGTTGTCTTATTCAATTAGACTCTTGGTGTCCTGTTATATGACTAATCTAACGTCATAATATATTTGTAACTCGAAATATTTGAGTCATGAAATATCGTTTCCTTTTAATAGGCCAGTGGTATATGTGTTCCTAAGTGTAATGCCTCTGTGCTGTAATGCCCAGCGGCGTATGTGTGCTCTGGCTAACCCCAGCTCCTGTCCCGTCCCGTTCGCCGGCAGTGGGGAACAAAAACGACAGTCCCGACCGGAAGGTGGTGCTGACCGAGGACGCCCAGCGGTTCTCCGACCAGATGGGCATCCGACTCTTTGAGACCAGCGCCAAGGATAACATTAACGTGGACGAGGTGAGTCACGTGAGGCGCCGCGGGCCGGGACCGGCCGGCCCACCCCGCCGTCCTCCCTCCGGGCGGCCATCCCGCGTCCTACCTGGAACGGGGTGAGGGGTACCGTCGCTTTTCTTTGTCCGTCGCAGATATCTCGGAAATCAGCGACGCTGCCGTTTCAAGCATATTTTAATCGTGTGTACAAAGATGGTTGTCCTGCCTGAAGACCATATCATCAGGAAATCATTAGCTATCGGATTGCTTCGAGATAATGAAACGCTACTGCGCGGGCTTGACTAACACTTTCGTACCTCCATTGATAAGGCTGTCGTGATGTACTTGATGTATGTCTCAGAGTTTCTTCCTGTTGTGCAGTATGCATTCAGACTCTCAAAAACCTATAGCGGTTGGTTTTATCGAGACCTACCACTTATAGGTGGTCAATGAAAAAACAACAATGCCCTCGTAACACGCATCATAGGGTCAGGTCACGTCTTTATGGGTTACTAAAGCATATTCTTCGGTTTCTTTTCATTGAGATTCGTTGCAGACGACACAGACACAGAGCTTATGGAAAAGTCATAGGTTGGTTTGTAGCGCTTTAGTTCATCTAGGTCATGATTGATGTCATCACTTGTCGATAAATATCCATTGAAGCAAATTTTATCCTTGCTGACGTTGCGACACCTCGACTTAAGATTCATTACGAAAATGTCTCCATTGAGTTTTACATAGTTATTCTCAAGCAAATTTATTCGCGATCGCCACTTTTCGCCGCTTGATCAATGAGGAGGCAACTTATGAAGGGAAGGATATTCTGAAGTTCGGTGGTTAGCGCCACCTTCCGGCCTGACGCGGTCTTAACGGTCTTACGTGACCTTTGAAGCTCTACCACGCCAGTGACATGTCAGGCCTTCTTAACTTTAAAGTTTTATCTCAAATCTGTGCGTTTTCCGATACGCTCACGCATAGATAACATGAATGGCTCACGCTAACAACACTATACACCAGCTTAAGTTGCTCGATGTCCTTTTTATCATAGACATTTTATGATTGATTGGAGACTGCTGTCCTTAGATGGCGCTTATTAGATGGCTAGTTCTCTTTGCTAACGTTTGGTATCCATTTTAGATGTTTGAGGCCATCACTAGGCAGGTGCTGGAATCGAAGAAGCGGCAGAAGGAGGAGCAGTCAAACGCTAACAACGACACCATCAACATCAGGAGGCAGCACACCAAGTCCAAGAAGAAGTGCTGCTAGCCGCGCCGCCGACAGTCAGCGCCGCCGGTCGGCCGGTCGGCCGCCGCCGTCGTTAGTAGGTACTCAAGTCATTTTCTCTGGGCGTTATTGTGGGCTGCGGCTGTCGATGGGACGGGGCCTGGCGCAGAGGTCAGACCGCCACCGCCGGGTCGGTGGAGGCCGCCGCCGGCGCTGAAGACAGCGGCTCGCCCCGCGGGACCACGCCAGTGACGTGCCAGAGGTCGGGTCGAGCGCGCGCCCGTGCGGCGGGCACCCTGTGTAGAGGCGCGCGGCCCGGGTGGGATGGCCCGGCCGGAACTCGCTCACAGGGGTGCACTGAGACCCAGTGTGGAGCCGCGCGGTCCTGGGGCGGTGACCCCGCCGGTAAACGCTCACACGGGGAGCGCCGTGCGCCCGTGCAGCGCTCATGTGATTGGGAAACGTGCGTGTGCGGTGGAGCGTGTGCGATGTTTGGCAGGGATGCGCTCGGCGCCGGGAGAATGGCGGGACGAACCGCTACTGACCCGGCTTTGAGATGGTATTGTTCGCATCAGCTAAACCGACGGAAAACTGGCCCGTGTGGGCCACCCAGTGTTGGCTCTGCTGATGCTATGAGAGGACGATTGTGTCGGGGTTTACTACTATTTTTGGACGGTTTCATATATTTTTGCCTATAGCTGTATTCGGCATCCTATTGCTATGAACCGTTCAGGCCTATCGGACAAAGTCTGCTGAACGTGGGGCCAGCGCAGTTGGTGAATCACACTGTGAATACGAGTATGGAATGGGAACTTCCATGACGCGGGCTGCCCTACTCGGAGAGTATCGTGACTTCGAGACGTGTCGAATTCGCGCCCGGTGGACATTTATTACCATCACGGCGAATCATCTATGTATCGTACCAAATTCAATGACGAGAGAATCATGCGGCTTAGTGTATATTATGCATTTATGTATTATGCATGTGAAATAGCTTGCAATGTGATTGGAAGGCCATCAACGGCTGTTGCATCGTGCGATGAGTATATGAGCGTCTGAGCGGGGCGGGGCGGCAGGTCGTGAACGCTGTCTGCTCTGGCTAATGGTGAGCCGACCGGGCCCGCCGCCGACCGCCCGCCCCTACCGTTACTATTTTACCTTGTTTGGTGCTCCATTCCGATGCCCGGTGTTTTACCTTCGCTGAACGTGAGTAAAGCAAATACATTTTCGATGAGGAAAAATTTTCAGGAAAGTGAACGGCATCTGAAAAGCATAGTGAAGGGTTTGACGTATTTAAAACTGATACTGACCAACTATAAAAATGTGTAATGTACAATATAAAATATTTCTATGCGCGAAATCTACAAACTTTTAACCGGGAAATTTACAGGGATGACAAAAACAGTCTTAGGTATCTCATACATACACAATATCCCGTATATGAGATATCTATGAGAAAACTGCACCAACGCAATTCTTTTAGTTGACTGATCTCACTCGACACTCGACAGCTTGATCTGAATCTGACCTTATGTGACAGTTTATTGATGTCTTAACAGTTGACCTTATGTGACGGTTTATTGATATTGATGTCTCAACAGTAATACCACCTTTTCTGCTCACGCTTCAGAGGGTGGTCCTTCAGTCTTCGCCCTTTGCCCTCGGTTGCCTATTACCAATAGGCAACCGAAGTTCCTACTCCACTCCTACTCCAAAGTTCGCTATGAGTAGTGAGAACGCGTTTGACATTATACCACCGTTCCGTGCTTCTATCCTCAGGATACTGAAATCCTTCTTCTCCACGCCGCAACCCCCCCCCCCCCCTCCGGACTGGACAGGCAACTTTATCTCATGCGGGCTGCTCTCTTGGAGCGGCACCACTGCTCCCGAGGGAGCGCACCCCGTAGCCGGGTGCAGTGAGTGCCTTGGGGCTGGGTGGCCTGTCCTCTGGACGGGCTCAGCCCCGGCGACTCACTAGGGTGCCTGCCCAGATCAATGTCTCCCCCTACATCCTATCATCCTCCCGGCTCTGAAATGGTCTTACTGGACCGAAAGGGCCTAACCCAACAAAACAAACAAAAACAAGACATTATACCTACCCCGGCCACGTGAGCCGGCGCGCCGTTCATCCGCCGGTCCGCAGTGTCGCCGCCGGTCCGCCGTCTGGAATCGATGGCGGTCTGCCCGGGGTACGGGCGGTCTGTCCGCCCCCGCGGCCTCCGGGCGGCCGCCGGGACGGTGCGGCTCGTGTTGCCGGCTTGTTACACCGGTGTGCCATTAGTGGACGGAAACACGGCGGGCAGGAGACACGGCCGAGAACAGAGGGAGCGTTGGGGTGGATCGAGACGGAGCGGAGACCGGCGATAGGGAGACGGCGAGTTGAACGGGATACGACCGCAGACGGTCACCTTTCCAGTTGACGCCCTGAAGAGTACTGCATGCGTCTGAAATAAAACAGGGTTCTTTAGCTTCTCTGAATGGTTACAGCAGCATAGATGCATCTGCATTCTGCACATTGATGGTGGTAAGTCTGTAGCGCAATACAAGCACTTGATGGTTAGGCTGTAGGAACCACGCTACACGCACCTGGTGGTTAGGCTGTACCGCAGTACACGTGACTGGTGGTTGGCTGCACCGCACTACACATCAGAGTTACGACTCAATACACAATGGGTGGACTTTACCCCAGCATATTTGATGGTTAATTGCTGACTGTTGCAGTGTAGCCATACCGCCCTCTCATCTACCAATTATCACCGCCATGGTTACGCTCCATTGAAAGTTCGTGGAAAGTTCTATGTAGTTTCGTGACTGCGTAGCTCGTGCCCATGTTCTTGTCGTCGAAGTTCTCGGCGGCTGCGTGTATTCTTAAGCAATAACATCGTGATAATTAGTGTTGCTCGCCCAAGAATACACGTAGCTCTGCCGAGCCGGGTGCTCAGGTGACCGCAGGCCGTCTTCCGTTCGGGTCTCCCATCGACTTTCGAGCCACCGCTGCACTTCGAGTCCTCCAGACAGATATGCGGTCGGCTCTACGACATTGTGACATGCTTGCTGCATGCTCAATCTGTAAACATGACATTCGCTCCCTGCCAGCAGGGCTGGAAATCCTCAGCATCCAAAGTCTCCTGTATCCAGTAGACACAAGACAAACATTATAGTGAACCTCAAACCTCTCTGACCAGTGTAAGGTCCTCTTAGGCTAGCATTTTTCCATTCAGAGACCTGCATGAGACCTCTGAGGCGCGGCGGATCACCCGACACGAGAGGGCCCTCTGAGGGCTTTTGAGGCCCTTTCAGAATATTGTTGGTCCACCCATTAGCGTCGCCACGGGGGGGGGGCAAGCGGGGCAGCTTGCCCCCCCCCCCCAACCTCGGACCGGGCACCCCCTGAGATCGATACAAATCCGATGAGATTTTGGAGTGGGGGAAAAATGGGGGTACCTTTCTGAGAATGCCTGTGAGGTCAGACTCTGTTGGAGCGTGCAGTTCAAACCAAAGTCAGATTCGCAGTCGCCAAAATCTTCAAGACTCCGACTCCAGACTCGGAAATGTCAATGCATGCCATGTTCCTAGTTGGTTCTTTATTACATTTTGTAGCTGATTTTCATAAATTTTGGAGTGCTGACACATAATTTTCGTTCAAAGCGTGACACGAAATCTTCGGGGCCCTTCTCAACTCTCGTCAAATGTCTGCGACAGGCACAAGCACCGTTCAAGTGCCGCAGGGCTCATGAGCCTGCTTTTCACACAGGCTCCTAAGGAGCTCCACTGAGCTCTAAGAAGCTTTCGAAGGGCCCAAACCGGTCTCTGAGAGTCCCACTGGTGTCCATGTTCTCTAGAGGGCCCATACAGGGATCTTTGAGGACATTATACATACGTAGACCTCTGAAGGGCCACACGAATCTTTGAGGATGCCTTCGAAAATTTCTGAAAACCTCAACTGGCCTATGATAGTTCAGCCGAACTTTTGAGGCGACAGACTTTACTAACCCCAACCCGGCATCTGAGGGGTCACAACTCACGTGTCCCTCTGAGGACCGCAACACATGTTTCTTATGTCCCTACCAACGTAGGGTCCTTAAGGATTCGACACAGACCCCGACGGTTCACACTGTTATTCGAGGGCTCCAGGCTCACCCTGGGCCTAGTCTCTTAGCGCCCGCCGCCCACACTGGCTTCTGAAAGCTCGTGTGCCCTAAGGGCTTTCCGGGCCCACCTTAGGCTCGGAAAGCCCTAAAGCACCACATACACGTAAATATTTGGGGTGACCCACGCCGATCTCCGGGATCCTAAGCAGGCTTCTGAGAGTCCACACTGCCGACCCTGAGTGGCGTGAAATGGCCTGGAAGTCGCAATCCTATCTCTAAGCACCCTTGCCGTTATGCCGTGCGTAACTTTTGGCTCCGTTAAATATTTTTGGTCGCGTTTGCAGCGCTTCCCTTCACTCGAAAAACCAGAAACTTTTTGTTCACACTCGAGTGAACAAAACACTTCTTCTCACTGCAGCAAGGATGAATGATGTACTTCCGATTCACACTTCCGACATTCTCTCTCACTCTCCGCCGAATGCCCAATTCTTAGCTACAATTGGCGGCTGGGATAAGCCCTATGCATTTCACGTAAAACCTCGGCATGCATGCGTGAATTGAGGTTTTAGCGAGGTGATCCGATTCAAATGGACGACATTCTCTCTCACTCTCCGCCGAATGCCCAATTCTTAGCTACAATTGGCGGCTGGGATAAGCCCTATGCATTTCACGTAAAACCTCGGCATGCATGCGTGAATTGAGGTTTTAGCGAGGTGATCCGATTCAAATGGAGCATTTTTCACCTTCTTCTGGGTAATGATCATGAGCGACGAGAGTCTGCACAGGGACCCTCTGCAGTGCGTCGGCAATCGCAGCCACTGTAATTCTAACGGTCGTTTTTGTCCAGAAATTTCAAAATTTTGATTTTTTTTTTGTAAAAAAATACATGCTATAGCTAGAAGGAAAACTTTGTCACCATCGGATTCCTCGCACCATTGCGCGTCGAATGATATGTAAAACAAGTGAGTAACGGCTGGGGAAAGGCAAGATTTAACACAAAACTTGATTTTGCCCCCCCCCCCCAACCGAAAATGTCTGGCGACGCCTATGGGTCCACCTCCCCCCAAATATGGGGCACATGCTTTTGTAGGCCGCAAGGTTAACCCTACCAAACCTTCCCCAGCCCCGTTTGCTATATCAAAATGTATCATGAATTTATTTATTTATACATACAACAACATCCACAAGCATCGTGGCTTTTCAGTTGAGGTGATTACGAGGTGATCCGTAAAATACTTTGGCAAGGATACGGATAGGATACGGGACGTTGTGATAGGATTGTGCAGGACTGCGAGTGCTGCTACTGCCCAGTTGGCGCTGCGCACATCTGCAGCCTGGCAAGAAGGATAAGTATGAGGATATCACCGGGGCCCTAAGAAATGAAAACTTGACGAAAGAAAAGCTGATGAGTGCATGAGCTCGTGGATCGTGGTCGTAGTCGAGTTTCGTAGAAGTTCACCGATTTGTAAATCTTGCTTCCGTTCAAAAGTTCTCACATTTCTCGATAGCATCTTGGACACTGGTCTTGATCACATGTCGCTATTTATTTATCATAGCAGGATAAATAACCAAACGTGTCTTGATACCGCATTATGCGTTATCATATCTGAATGCACTCATTTGCATTGGAGCCGTCTCTTCGAGACCTAACTGACTCTCAACATGCGATAATTTTGATTATCCGCATGCACGGATAAGTTAGATATATAGATAGATAAGCAGATAAGTTATCCGCGATTCGATCTCTTGTAATGACCGTAAGCACTAAATAAGGTTGATCAGACCGGTATTATTAGATTACATATAGGCAGTATTTATAGGAATGACGGCGCGGATACAACAACTGCGAACTCCATATCTGGCCAGAGGGCTGACCGTCTCTTCATAGAGGGGGACCGTCTCTCCAGAGAGGGGACCGTTCCTCCAGAGAGGGGGCGTCACTGCATAGAGGGGGAACGTCTCTCCAGAGAGAGGGCTGCTCCTCCATGCGAGGGAGGTCTGTCCCTCCATAGAAAGTCCCGCCTTTCCAGCGAGGGAGCCGCCCGTCTTTCCAGAGAGGTTTCCCGTCTCTCCAGAGAGGTGGCTGTCCCTCCAGAGAGGGCACGGATGTCCTCCACAGAGAGCGACTCGTCCCCCAGGGAGCGGGTGTC